AACCTACCTATTCGCGAGCGAGGATCTTCAAAAGAAAGGAAGAAGTATAGATCACAGTTATCACCCGAAGACGATTGTGGATACTAACAATCGAAACGTCGTGACGTAACTTGGTTTGGAATCTTTTAATATTTATTTTTCATTTTTTGTTAATAATATTTTTTAATTTTCAGCTTTTATCATTATTTCAATTTTTTTAATTTTTTTGGTTGTTACTTGTAGGCTATTTCTTTGTAATTTCAGTTTTTTTGTTTAATAAAATTGTTATTTGTTTATATTAGACAATGGAAGTCCGATAAAATACACCACGAATCATTGTCAACCACCTTCAAACAAACGTAGAATTATTGACTTTATTGCTTGATCTAACACGCGCGCCTACTGCTTTATTTGTAACCTTCCTTTGCGCGCCTGCTGCATTATTTGTAACCCTTCTTTGCGCGCCTACTGCCCTATTTGTAACCCTTCTTTGCGCGCCTGCTGCCTTGGGCTTGGTAGCTGATTTTCAGGCTCAGTCTCCGGAATCGGGAAATATCAATTGTCATTTCTCTAAACAATATACGGCTGATTGATCCCAAAGTTTAGATAAAATAAATATAGTTTAAAAAGACTAAAAAACTCGCTTTCATAGCATACGAAACTAAAAAAAAAACACGCTTTTGAAGAGCATCCAACTAAAAAGTTAAAAATAGTTTTTTTAAAATAAGCTTAAAACAATAACGAACGAAAAATACTAGAATTATTGTGAAAAACACGAGGGCGCTTTGTGCCATATTTTTTGTATATCAAGCGCCCGTAGCTTTCTTCACAATAATACTAGTATTTTTCGTTCGTTATTGTTTTAAGCTTATTTTCAAAAACTATATATTACTGGAGTTCTTTCTCAACATCGAATCGTTCTTTTCAACACCTCGACACGTGTTTCGATCACCAAGTGATCAACTTCAAGAGGAAGATACATAAGGACATATTATAAAATCAATAGATACTAAATATACCAAGGGTGTGGTATACCTATAGGGTATACCTGCATGGTACACCTGTATTGATGAATAGGGTTAGCCTTGCAAGTTTTTCCAGTTTAATCTTCGTCTTGAAGATGATCACTCAGTGATCGAAACACGTGTCGAAGAGTCAAAAATAACGATTTGGTTTAGGGAAAAAACTCCAGTAATATTCATTATAACACCAAAGGTTCCAAACACTGCATCACAAGTATATTCATACTATTTACATTTTAACGTACTTATATTACATCCTGTAAATACAAGGTGTTCCAAATTAGGTCAGCATCACTGCCAACTCCGCTTTCATTGATGCTACGAATTTGGTTGAATGAGCGAACTACTAGTAACTTAAATGGAATTATATTATTTTAAGCTTATTTAAGAAAAAAAAATATTTTTAACTTTTTAGTTCGATTTTCTTTAAAAGCGTGTTTTTTAGTTTTTTAAACTATATTTATTTTCAATGTGTAATTGTAACCTACCATAAGTTGCTGACAATAAATTTTTGAAAGGTAATTTAGCTAATTTGTCTATTCCAGTAAAGAAATCACAAAAGTTTTTCGAAGATATCCGGAAAAGGTGTTTGTTTTCACCTGAAACTTATAGAGGTCCTCCTAGACATTTTTTCTTGTAAGTGAAATTTCAAATGAATATTCCTTTATATACAGGGTATTTCCTAATTACGGTATGAAACTTCAGAGGGTGATTCGTTAGGTCGTTTTAAGAAAAAAGCTCCTATGAACATATATACGGAGTTGCTTCGTTTCTGAGGTACTGGCATTGAAATAAAAAAAAAAGGTATCTATAAAATATCATGAATATTGTTGTAAATCATGCCCTAAAGAAAATAACGCCGGCCGCCACTGGTAGCCATAAACCTATCGTGACGTAGCTAAGAGCGCGCGAATGTACGATGTTGTTCGCTGCCGCTCTAGATGTAGTGAAAATAATGCTACCGACTTCGATGTTATTCTGGCGAATTTTCTACTGCATTCGATTACGATATATAAACGCTAGCCTTGAGCTTATCGGCACAGTCAAGTGGAAGTTACAGTGAGGTACGCGAAGCGATCTAATAAGGCGACAGATATTCGAATAATAGTTGAAGTTTTCGTTGTATTTAAAGTAAAATTAAGTCAAGTTCGATTATTGTTCAGTGTAATATTGGTCAACCCACGGGGAAAAACGTAACAATATCCTTACGCGGAATTGGTTGAAATTTGCTACAGTTATTTGAAGTAATAAGGCGCTTATATAGCCCGAACTAGATTGAAATTATTAGCTCCAATGGCGTCTTAGTGGGCACCACAGCCAACAATATTGAGAAAAAAAAGAATGTCACTAAGTTTTTGATGATTTTTAATTTTTTAAATTAAGCAAAATATATCTAAGTATTCCTTATGGCATTGCAATTGTAAATTATTCGATTCCTCAAGTCATTCACATCTAGTACAGGAGTTTTATAAACAATAGCCTTCAGATGACCACATAAATATAAATCTAGAGGATTTATGTCAGGTTTGCGATCTGGACAATTTTGAGGTCCTGCACGTCCATTCCAGCGATTAGGGTAGGTAATGTCGAGATGCCAAGGAGTAAGAACACTAAAATGAGCTGAAGCCCCGTCGTGCTTAAAGCACTTGTTTTCTCTTACAAGTACCGGCACTTCTTCTAACAAAATGGATAAATGGTATCGCAAAAAGTTCGTGTATCTTGCTAGTGGAAAAAATGGGCCAGTTAGGTAGTCACCAGTCATTCCTTCCCAAACGTTCAGCGAAAATTTTTGCAGAAAATGACTTTCTCAGAAAACGTGGGGATTTTTTTCGGCATAAAAATGGTCATTGTGAAAGTTCATAATAGCATCTCGTGAAAAATTTGCGTCTGCAAATGAAATATTTGCCAAAAAATTATTATTGTGTGCCATCGTATGAATCAACCACCTGCAAAATATTAATCTTGGGTAAAAATCCCGAGGAAGTGGAGCTTGGAACTGTAGCAATCTTCAACCAAAACGGTATAAGGATATTTATGATATTTTATAAATACCTTTTTTTTACTTCAACGGCCTGTATCTCAGAAACGAAGCAACTCCGGACATATGTTCATGAAAACTTTTTTCCTTAAAACGACCAAACGAATCACCCTCTAAAGTTTCGTACCGCAGTAAGGAAACAACCTGTATAATTAAATTTCATCACAAATGTTTGGTCTGCGTACTAAATCAGTGTAATTCTGTTTTTTCTTCCAGTTTGTGTCTACGAGTGAAAGAAATTTCTCTGCATAATCTAGACATCTTTCTTTTTTTAATATATCCGCGTTTTATATGTCGGTGGAAAAGCCAAAGAGATTTTTTTATTTAAACATATATGGAACTTTGCTAATATACAGAGAGACTAGATTCTACCCAGAAAAAGGTCATCCACCTGATTGAAGACCCTAATGTCACAAGCAATCAAGGGTAAGAGAACTTGTCTCTGATCTATAAATACTTTCACGGGAAGTGTTTAACTTGGCCCGCTTGATAAGACGTTCAACTCAATGTATTTCAAACTACACTTTCTCAAGGACTTTCATTTGCATAACTTTTGCCTTAGAAATTAGTTTAAATTCGATTCTTGTCCACTAGATAGTTTTTTTTTCAATAATCAAAATTATATTCACCGCCAACCAGTTCCTTAGAATCATTTAATGTGCGATTCTAGGTTATTCACATTTTGATCAACAATACTGACTTTAGAGTAAAGTAGTCAGTATCAATAATTACAGCTTGTTAAATGTAAGAAGAGCTTTCTGAATTTCGATATGCGTTCGTTAGAAGACTAGGAGAGCGAAAGCAAAAGACAGAGAGAGAGAGGGAATTCTCAATTATCTTCCTAGATTTGACAAGCATAGGAACTTTTTATAGAAAATGTAATTCTGTATTACAGCTTCACACCCATAAAAAAAATTAACTATATATCGAATTGAAACCCAAAAAAAAATGTGTGTTATTCAAATGGAAAACCGAATTTTTGGATGAGCCATAGGATTTTTTCTATCAATTTAATTTTATCAAGTACTTTTCTTAGTTATTCACATTTTGTCTTCAATCGAGGATCGCCTGTCCGGTACTGACGATGCCCAGGAGGCTGAAACAAGTCACAAAAAGTATTTGAATAAGCTTTATAAAACTCTACTCAAACTGCAGTTTCTTGCATCCAATGGGGGTTCACATCAGACCAATAGTGACAATTATGTTTGTTTATTATACCGTTGTTATGGAAACGGCTCCATAATATATTTTTCAGAAACTGATCATCATCATGAATACGGGCGGGCAACAATGCAATGAAGTTCAATCTTCTATCAGCATCTCCTGAATATTGGAATATGTTTCAGTTATTAAAAATGAAACATGAAGATTATTACCTGGATGTAGTCCTTGAACCAAATGTATTTTGTATGGATTTAATTTGTTTTTTGACAAAATACATTGTATTGACGATTTCGAAGTGTCACAATCCATTGATACTTGTCTGGTAGAACTATGTGGTTCCAATACCATTTGATATAGCACTGCAACAGTGTGATTCTCATCTGTAGCCGTTTTTTACTCTTTCGTTTCCGTTCATTAAAACATCCATTTTGTGCAAAAGATTTGGCTAAGCTAGCGAATGTTTTGCCTGGCGGTAATCTTCTGTCAGGATACCGATTTTCAAAAAACCAACACAAAAATGAATACACTTTCGTCAAACCTGACAGATTTTCTGACAGATCGATAAATACGTTATTGCAGTTTTTTGACTTATTCATGGCCCTCTTCATAATATACAATAAAATTGCTTTTTTTCATCAAAATTTAAGGAAAACTACAAGTGTGCTATAAGAGTGAGTTCAGAATTTGATGCAAAATCCAAAAACAAATTGAAAAATCTGGGTTTCCATTTAAAAATTCATTTTCCAGATATTTGCCGCGTAGTTGATTTAGTATAGACGTAATATGATTTTTTTAAGGATAAGTCGCCAGCTTGCAGTTGCGTCGATTGTGAAGAAAGTTGTCCTGTTCCACCACCAGAACCCCCTGCACCACAGCCTTTCAGAGTTGCTGGTTTTGAAGGTTACGCTTTTGTAATGGTGGTAGTTTTTATAGTCGGATCTGGAATATTCCTCTTGGGAATTTTTGCTTGTAAGGAAGGAAATGACCTGGGTAAGTTTTTCATCCCCAAATGTAATTGTTTTATTTTTGAAGTTTTGCTTGAATTTGCACCATTTGCAGTGTAATTTGTATCAGGGACTAGTTTTATTTACATAGTTATGTCACAAAAATGTAATTTAAAGTTTGATTATATCCTTATCGGAATGTTTGGAATTTAAATATCCCCTGACGAAGTCATAAAATCAATTGCTTTATATCAGAGTTAAAAAGAATACAACACATCATCGTCAATTAATTTAAATGTCATTTTAATGTAACATTCGTAACAATCTGAAATAATCAAAACTGATTATAGAACAAAATGGTTTTCCACAAATTATTTTGCCTATAAATTATTTTCCAATACGTTGTCTACTTTTCACTCTTGCTCACTTTTGTCTTCATGGCGCATTAATTTATATCATCAGGAAAACTATCAGGTTTCTCCTTCGACCAATTATAGCGAAAATATATTAAATATACATTAAACTATTTTTCTTCAACTTCGAAGTTAAAGAAAAAATCTTTCTGTCATAGGTAGTTTTGTTTTTTTTTTTAAATCGGGTCATAATGCTTTTGATGACAAAAAAGATCCCACTTCTCGAATATTGTGGATCTGGTACTTTAGGCTGTGTACGAAAAAACTTCACGGAGTGGTGACAACTTAAGGTACTGCTGATAAGTTACTCCAGTCAATTTTTGTCCAATTTCAGTCTTTTTTTTCATTTTCTCTTTGGTACTGACTTGTCAGCAATGGTTTTCAGGTTTGACTTTAAGAGCATATGCTTCTCCTAAAAATTGATCTAGACATAGATATTGTTTTGAAAGTTGTATGCCCCTCACTTGTTCTGATTTCAGTGCTTTTCCTATGTTTCAATATGAGTAAGTTGCCTTTTAATTTTCAGTTGTTTTTTTCTAATTTGGAAAAGCCTGTTACATTTATTTCAGTTTTGCATAACTTCAATTGTATTTTCCAATCGCTTCTATTTATGATTGTTTAATATGTGATTTCAATTCGATTTTGTATTATTGTTGGAGAAGAATCTATAATAACGTATCCAAAACACACATCATTTTACAATTTTCACTAAACAATTTTACAAAAACGGAACACGTGTTTCGCCATACAATGGCTTCTTCGGGCGTGTCTTTACTAACTTATTCTACATATTCAATGCTAAATATACCTTATTCTATCGAAGTACCTACATTTCAAGTACCTTATTTTTACCTAAGTTTGAAATGAATTAAATTACATTAGCCTATGTCCCAGTTTCCACATTTGAAAAAATATTTAGTAACGGGGAGTCATTCAATTCTAATTGATCATTTAGTAAATTATTCGAATTCCTGAATCTATTGATTTCTAAACATTTTAGAAGATTGAGTTTCAAACTCTTCTCTTCTAAATGTAACACATCGTATTCATGCTTGAACTCATGTCCTTCTACTGAAAGGTGGTTTGCAAATGAGAAATTGGTCTTTCTATTAACAAAACTTCTTCTATGCTCTTTAATTCTTTGGAAAAATGTTCTCCCTGTTTGGCCAATATACAGTTTTGGGCAAGAGCCACAAGTTAGCTTATATACTCCTGATCTATCCGACACCGAAATTTTGTCTTAATTGATTTCAATAAATTTACTTAGACTATTATTCATTCTGTGAGCTACGTTTACTCATTCTTTCTTCAAAAAACGGGCAATATTATAATATTGCCCGTTTGGTTGGTTCACCCAAATATAACAATGTCCTATAACTGGCGTTATCGCATCTTGAATTTGGGTAAGCCAGGTCCATGGCTTGCTTTTGTAGTTTTTTTTTTTTTTTTTTTTTTAATGGAGTCTATAATATCTACCTTATAACCGTTGTTAATCGCGATTTGTTTGATCAAACTCAGTTCTCTCTGGAAATTACTCTCAGGCAGTGGAATATTCAGTAGTACCTGCATCGTGAATCATACTATTGAATGCAGCAACTTTATGCTGGTAAGGGTGTGTGGAGGACTTAGATATGATAATGTCCGTGTACGATGGTTTGTTCAAAATTTCAAATTCATGTTTATTGTTATTTTTCGTAATGGTTAAGTCAAAGTAATTCATTCACCTCCCTTTCAGTGGTAAATTTTATTGACGTGTGGAGTTGTCATATTTGAGTGAACCAACCAATAATATTGCCCGTTTTTTGAAGAAACAATGAGTAAACGTAGCTTACAGAACGACTAGCAGTCTAATTAAAAACAATAAAGACAAAACTTCGGTGTCGGATAGATCAGAAGTATATAAGCTGACTTGTCGCTCTTGCCCAAAATTGTATATTGGTCAAACAGGGTGAACATTTTCCCAAAGAATTAAAGAGAATAGAAGTAGTTTTGTAAATAGAAAGACCAATTCCATATTTGCAAACCACCTTTTAGCAGAAGGACATGAGTTCAATCATGAATACGATGTGTTACATTGAGAAGAGAAGAGTTTGAAACTCAATTTTCTAGAATGTTTAGAAATCAATAGATTCAAGAATTTGGGTCATTTACTGAATGATCAATTAGAATTGAATAACTCCGCGTTACTAAATATTTTTTCAAATGTGAAAACTGGGACATAAGCTCAGGTAATTTACTTCATTACTAACTTAGGTAAAAATCAGGTACTTGAAATGTAGGTATAATACGGTATATTTGAATATGTAAAGACACACCCAAAGAAGCCATTGTATGGCGAAACACGTGTTGAGATTTTGTAAAACTGTTTAGTGAAAATCTCACAATGAAGTGTTTTTTTGAATACGTTAGTTATGGATTTTCATCAAGTATCGGCCAATTCCAGCATGAATCTATAATACCTTGCATTTTTTGGTAACAGAAAAAGCCATTGAATGTTAAGCTAAACACTGTGTAACTAACTGATCTTTGAATTGGTTTTAATTTAGGGTGTGGTTTTATGTTTATTGTGATTTTTTTATGTTGGTGTTTGTTAGCATTGTAGCTGAACCTTGTGGTTTTACAATTTTTTCACAGGAAGCAATAGATTCGACTATGAGCGAGAACAATTCCAAGCAGACATAGACGATAGAGCAGAGGATCGCCAAGGTATAAAATATATGCCGGCTTTTGCCTATGCCACTTATATCGTGTTATACTTTTTATGTCTCTTTCACTGTACAGACTGGTTTTCCTTTCAAGATAAACAGCAACAACATATTTTGAAATATTTTTTTTTATAAATTCACATTGTACTTCATATGAAATGGGTACCTGTCTGTATGTAAAATAGGAAGTGTTTGTATTTTTTTCAGTAGTAGTTGCTCTGTCAAATTATTTCTTTATGTAAAATACATACCAATGTGTTTTGTCAATCATGTCCGACAACCTGTTGAATTCATTTTCCAGATTCAGATTATCTGGTGCAATCATCTCATGTTATCATAAAAAGTATATGTAATGTTACATGTTTCTAACCAATTTTGAACTTGACATACAAATATGAGGATCTTTGTTATTTCTTTGCAAACTTCATTTTAACCTCACTTTCAGTTCCTGATGAAGATACAATAAACGCGTCGAAAGCTTGAAAAGAAAAAATAGTTTTACAATCTTTCTGCTTCTGAATGCTACACCCGATTTCACAACCTGCTTTATTTCGTGAAAGCAGATAATTTTGGTGTCAAAGGGTCCTCTTATTTACGTAGAGATCCAGCACTAGGCGTCATCCGTTAGGGCGTCGCGACACCGACGCCAATTTTTTTAAATGGTAACCCAGTATTTTCAATTGGTTTTTGAATTCTGCATTAACTTCTGGATTCAGCCATCTGGCACACTTGTAGTTTTCCTTGAATACTGATGAAAAAAGGCAATTTTATTGCGTATTATAAAGAGGGACATGAATAAGTCAAAGTGAATGCAATAATACGAGTTTAATAAAATGAATCCATCAGTTATGATTTCATTGGCTGTTCAATTTTATCTAGTTGCGTATTTCTGTACAAATTAAAATAAATGTTTCAAATTACCAAAAAATATGTTACTTTGACCATAACTCGACTAAACATGACGATAACGAAATCAATTAGTGATAACAAGAATCATTTTAGTGAGTGTTCGAACTGCCTCCCTTCACGTAGAATACACATATTGCATCTTTTTAGTAATTCCCGATTCGTGACAGCTAAAAGCGTCTCTCGCTTTATTGAAGCACAAACATTTGTGATACTATTTGTCAAATCCTCTACATTTTGTGGACGTCGCATATAAACTAAGTCTTTGATATATCCCAACAAAAAGAAATCTAGTGGAGTAATATCTATACTTCGAGCTGGCCATGGTATTGGACCATGGCCATGGTATTTCCAATATATTTCTCATTAAAAGTATCATCCAAACATTGGGTAACTATTCTATTATTTTGTGGAGGTTCCCCATCTTGTTGAAACCACATATTCGGTCGAGTTTGTATTGGCAAATTCTCCAAGAGATTCGGCAACACATGTTGTAGAAAAACCAAGTACTTCTCCCCATTGAGATTTCCTTCGAAAAACTGATGTTCTATCAAATATCCATCAATGATTCTGCATCAAACATTAACTCCCCACACAGACTGAAATCTCGTTTCCTGCACCCAATGAGGGTTCACGTCAGACCAATAGTGACAATTATGTTTGTTTATTAAACCGTTGTTATGGAAACGGCTTTCATCACTCCATAATGGTTTTTCAGAAACTGATCATCATCATGAATGCGGGTGGACAACAATGCAATGAAGTTCAATCTTCTATCAGCATCTCCTGAATATGGGAATATATTTTAGTTATTAAAAATGAAACATGAAAATTATTACCTGGATGTAGTCCTTGAACCAAATGTATTTTGTATGGATGGAATTTGTTTTTCGACAAAATACATTGTATTGAAGATTTCGAAATGTCACAATTCTTCGCTACTTGTCTGGTGGAACTATGTGGTTCCACAATAACATTTGGTTTTTGGTCTTTTTCTCTTCCGTTCATTAAAACATCTATTTCGTGCCAAAGATTTGGCTAAGCCAGCGAATGTATTGTCTGGCGGTAATTTTCTGCCAGGATACCGATTAGCGTATATTCTCACTGTTTCTTTTGAATTCCTTCTTGCTTCGCCATAAATACATACAGTGTGTAACAACGAAAACGTAACAGACCCGTTTTTGAATATAAAAAGTAAGATTTTTAAAAAAAGCTCGGATACGTCGATTTCTAATTAAACGGGGACACCTTTCAGACTAATCAGATTTTTTGTATTACGCACCCCCTCGGAGGGGTGCGTCTGACGACCCTTATTTAGATAGGGAAAGTAGGTCGAGTGGCACCTTGTTTTAAAGGTCTTTCGAATACCTTTACATCTTGTTGGAAGAAAATTTTTGTAACGATTAGTTTTCGAGATAATTTGAAGATTTAAAGGTATTTTTATTGAGTTCAACTCTTTAAAATATATCAAATTGGTTTTAAGGTACAATTTACGTTCAGAACTTTTATAAAAAAAATAAATGTTTGCTTTCTATGACAACCTGCTAATACGTGTCCATTTGATTTCGTAAAAAAGTAAGAATTATTTGTTTATTACGAGGAGATTTTTTCGGCAGATGGGGTTAGTTACCACCCTTACTTTTTAGCTAAATTGAGTGGCACTTTCTCATGAAGGTTGCCTTTTGACGTGGATATTTTATGCTTCTGATAAATCATACTAAAAACTTACCTACACAACGAATACAACCTGCTGATTTCCTTGCATGCTGATGACACAGAAAAGTTTAAAAAACTGTTTTAGGGTTCATAAATTCCAATAATTGTTTTTGAAGCACACACAAAAAAAGTAACACCTAATAAGGGTAACTCACATAGGAAATTTAGAGTAAATGTTCAAAATGTGCACCATTTTGCTCCATGCAACAATAAAGATTCTGTTCGAATTTTGCTCTTACATTATTCAACATCTCAGGAGTTATAGCTCGGCATTCGTCAATAATTCTACGACGTAATTCATCCAAATTGGCTGGCTTCGTAGCATAAACTTTAGACTTTAAATATCCCCACAAAAAGTAGTTCAGTGGTGTTAAATCTGGTGATCGTGCTGGCCATTCAATTGGACCTCTTCTGCCAATCCATTGTCCTTCAAAATGATTATTCAAAAAATTTCAAACCTGTTGGGCATAATGGGGTGGTGCACCGTCTTGTTAAAAATGGATAAATTCATCTTGACATCTTGGATTCTGTTCAATTATTTCAACTATACGAGGTTGTATTGCCTCTTCAAGAAGTTGTAAATAAGAATCACCGGTTAAATTTCCATCAATGAAAAATGGACCTACAATATGATTGCCTAATATTCCGGCCCAGACATTCAACTTTTGGGGATGTTGGGTATGTATTTCTGCGTATTGTCTTGGGTTTTCATCCGACCAATAACGGCAATTGTAACGGTTCACGCAACCATTTAAATAAAATGAGCTTTCGTCTGAAAAACAGATGTTATAAAGCAGCTCGGGATTTTGCAATAATCTCTCACTCATGCCCTCACAAAACTCCTGTCTTCGGTCAAAATCATCCTCATTGAGTTCATGAATAAGTTTAATTTTGTAAGGATGGAATTTGTGGTTTTTAAGGATTCTCCATGCGCTCATATGGCTTATTTCGGCCATCTGGTACTTAACTTGGGATTGGCGATGACTTGACCAATCACTCCAATCGCATTATCGTCATTCACTACCCTTCTCTGAACATTTCTTTTTTTATTTAAAACCGAACCTGTCTCCCTGACTTTTGTGACCAAATCCAGAACGTGATTTCTGCTTAGGTGTTTACCAGGGTTTTGCTCGTTAAATAAAATTGATGTTCTATTAGCATTTTGGTCGTTGCCAAAAAATAAAGCAATAACTGAAACCCTTTTAGCAGTAGTGTAAGGCATTTTTAAACAAATAACAATACACGACCCGTTTAAACAAAACAATCGAACGATGTACTAATGAAAACTGGAAGAAGAGGAGTGGGTATTGATTTTAAAATGGGATTTTATTTAACAAAAAACTGATAAGAAGAACTGCTCGAATTTTTTTTATTTTGGTATACAAGTTACCGAGTGGTCTGTCTAATGTATTATTAACATGACAATTTTACCTTCAAATCATCTCGAAAACTGATCGTTACAAAAATTTTCTTTTAACAGAGTTGTAAAGGTATTCGAAAGACCTTTAAAACGAGGTGCCACTCGACCTACTTTCCCTATCTAAATAAGGGTCGTCGGCCGCCCCTCTCCGAGGGGGTGCGTTAATATTAAAAAACTGATTATTTTTGAAAACTACACAAATAACCCTTGGGTTGTTTGTGAGTTGAAGTTAAACCAGCAATTATCTTGGGAGATCTACCATACGTGTATAATTTGAATAAATTTCAATTTTTGGTGTGAATAACAATAGTAACTCTTGAATCGAATATTTCTTGTCCAAAGAATATTTGGAAAATTGACCATGAACTTCGTATTATTTACGTCTTATTCATGACAATTTCTTTCAAATATTTGAGGTTTGTATTCCATAATGACTAGTTTTATGGTGATAGCTCGATGTATTCAAATTGTTCAATAATCATTGAATTTTTATATAGTAATTATTTGATTCTCCTTGGTTTAAATCCGGTTTATAATGACTGTTATATCAAACAAGTTGTTTTGGGCATTTTAATAAAATAACTTGACTTCATCTGCTTTCTAATATTGATTATTATACGATTTTTCAGCTAAAAACTTATTTACAAACGTTCATTGTCTTTCATGTATGAATTTGAATGTATCTGTTTAGTTTTTAACCCTGCCTGTTTTTCAAGTGGATATTTGGGTGAATTTTTTGGTTATGGTTGGTTACAGTGGGTTTGATCAATGGACAGAGATCTGACGAGTTGAGGGCTACACGTAATGTGGGTATGGCTGACCACCATTCTTCCCAAGTGGCATCAGGAGAGGGTGAAGAAAGCCCTCTCCAGTCTTCAAAACGATCTAGTACGTTTATTGCTTCTACAGTGCTTGACCACTGAAAAAATTTAATTATTTCTCTTAACAACTGATTACAGACATCTTAAATATTAAATGGTTATGAAAGTATCAGATATATTCACATTTTACACCATTATATTTTTTTTGGTGGTTATGCAAAAAACTTGTAAAAATATATGTATTTTTTTGTTTTGGGAAGCTTTTATAGTGAATGTTGCATGCTTAATTCACATTCCGGTTTGAGGTAGAAGGAATATAACCGCATTTTTTCACATTATTCGTCATTATACAGTCAAAAATAAAAAATGCTTGTTGTTTACTCTTCGATCAGTAGAAAATAAAAATTTCATGAAGTCAAATGTTGAGACAGTCAGTAGATTTTTTTTTTCATATTCAAAATAGTTAAACTTTAAGTTAGTGCATAAATCAAGTCAATGTTTTGATTAATCTGTTGGACTTAACTACTAAAAGTTGTGTAGAAAGCTGTTTTTTTTCTATAAAATAACTTTATGTTTACATGAAATCCATAGATGTGAATGTTTTTTGTATTCCATTATTACAAATAGGAATGAAATTATTATGAAAAATGTCTATTCTATCTCTATGGTAAAGAACAATTACCAACATTTTCCAAATACATTTTCTTATGCAATCTGCAGTAATAATATTTGTCTTATATATCGAATGAAGTTATGTACTATATTTATTTGTGAATTGGTCAATAACAAGTGTTCCACCGAGTTTTTTTGGTATAGGTAGTTCATACCTCTCTATTTTAGGTCTAAAATATATAATTTATACTATACTATCTACATTTCAGATTTTTAAATGAATATATTTTCCAAATATTTGAAACCGTTTTTCAAGATCCTCAACAATATATTTTCAGTCAATTTAATATTTTTCCTTTGATTAATCAAAATCAAGAATTAATAATCAAGAAGATTTTAATAATTCGTGTTTGTTTGAACCCTTACAGTCTTACAGTAATTTACAATAAATGTTTTGATCAATTATGTTAGGCAGATTATGACTTTTTTTGAAAAAGTTCAACTTTTTGTGCCTCAGGTGTGCCATCAGATGCTCACGAAATGGAAACACGTTCTGTCAATAAGACGACTGATTATGATAATCCATCATCATTTATTGAAAAACTGGGAGCAAATACTGAATCATTACTTCAGAAATCGTTTGAGAAATGGGGAACCTTCTGTGCAGAGAAGCCATGGCTGATTTTATTTTTAGGAGCCTGTTTTGTAATAGGACTTAGTCATGGGATGAAATATTTGAAGGTATTTACATCTTTAATACAAAAACATTTTACTTCATTTTTTCAATTTCTCACCAAGGTAACCACAGATCCTGTTGAACTATGGTCATCTCCAGTATCTCGAAGCCGCATCGAAAAGGAATTTTTTGATAGCCATTTTGAGCCATTCTATCGTACAGAACAGCTTATCATTAAAGCTGTAGGACTTTCTGACATATACCACAATACTTCTGATGGAATCTTGAAGTTTGGTCCTGTCTTCAATGATACTTTCCTCAAAGCAGTCCTGGATTTGCAACAGAAAATCCAATCAATTGGCGAGGGAACGTCTTACAGTTTTGACAAAATTTGTTTTGCTCCTTTGAGGGCAGAAGGAGATACTAAAACTTCCGTGGATGAGTGTACAGTGCAAAGTATTTGGGGATACTATCAAAACGACATTGATACTTTTGAAGAAACTGGAGAAGATCCACTTCATTATGAAACAAACTATTTGGATCGATTTGTCAAATGTGCTGCGTAAGTAATATTTTGTTCAAGAGTATGTTATTCATATATTCATATATATTTGAACATTAGGAAGTTTTTATCATGATGATAAATTATTTATCCTATTTCAGTAATCCGTTTGATCCCGTTGACTGTTTGGCTCCATATGGGGGTCCGGTAGATCCAGCCATTGCACTTGGTGGATTTCTTGAGCCAGGAGAAAGTCTTGCTAGTAACTCAAATTACAAGAATGCTTCAGTTGTCATATTAAGTTTCATTGTCAACAATCACCACAATAAGTCTCTGCTGTCACCGGCTTTAGAATGGGAAAAAGAATTCATAGCTTTTATGAAGAACTGGACCAGTACTGAAAAACCTGATTTCATGGACGTTGCCTTCACTTCAGAACGATCTTTGGAAGATGAACTAGATCGTCAAGGTCAATCCGATATTATAACCATTCTGATATCTTACATGATAATGTTTGCTTACATAGCGATTGCGTTGGGACAAGTCAACAGCTGTTCTAGGTTGTTGATAGATAGCAAAATAACTTTGGGTTTAGGAGGTATCCTCATTGTACTGTCTTCAGTTATTTCATCTGTTGGAATATTTTCTTTCATCGGTGAGCCAGCTACCTTGATTATCGTTGAGGTTATTCCTTTCCTAGTTCTGGCTGTAGGAGTTGATAATATATTTATCCTAGTCCAAACCCATCAAAGAGACAGCAGAAAACAGGATGAAACTCATTCACAGCACATTGGGCGAATTCTTGGACAAGTCGGACCGTCAATGTTGCTTACCAGCCTCTCTGAAAGTTTTTGTTTCTTTCTTGGAGGTCTTTCCGATATGCCGGCAGTCAAAGCTTTTGCTCTATATGCCGGTATGGCTCTATTAATTGACTTTATACTTCAAGTTACTTGCTTTGTAAGTCTTTTGTCATTGGATACAAATCGTCAACAGGGCAACCGATACGATGTTTGTTGCTTTATCAAAGGAACAAAAAAAAACGAGCCCACCCCTGCCGCCCAGGAAGGTCTTCTCTATACTTTCTTTAAATCTGTGTATGTTCCATTCCTGATGAAAAAAACAGTGAGATGTGTGGTAGTCGTAATATTTTTCGGATGGCTGTGTTCGTCTTTTGCAGTAGTTCCTCGCATAGAAGTTGGCCTTGACAAAGAACTATCTGTGCCATTGGATAGTTTCGTTTTGAAATATTTCCAATATCTGCAGGCATACTTGAGTATTGGGCCACCAGTCTATTTTGTGGTCAAGGGCGGACTAGATTACAGTCAGCCGGAATCTCAAAATTTGATATGTGCTGGACAATTCTGTAATCCAGATTCACTAGTGACCCAAATATATATTGCTAGTAAAATACCCAAAACTAGTTATATCACAAGAACTAGCGACAGCTGGCTGGATGACTACTTTGACTGGAGCGCAAGTCCTGAATGCTGCAAATATCGGAAAAAAGATCATGGATTCTGCCCACATGACGGATCTGGTAAGTAATCTGAATTTTTCTTGGAAAAACCAAGTGAAGTGAGAAATTATCCTTCTGATTCGTATTGATTAAATTTTATGTTAGAAAAAATGCATTCTGATAGAATAAACAAAAAAGACGTCACTTATTGAAATTAAAAAAAAATTATGCAGAACTTCCACAATAAGAAAAACAGTGGTAAATAGCTTGAGGTGGCTGTCTGATAGTGTTTGGCAAACAAATTCATTGGAATATTCACAATCTATCTTCATGAATATTTAGTCAAATCCTCATATCTTATCAATTTTTTCAGAATACTACATGTCGGCGGTCGATGTTGAAGCCTCGCTTTGCAACTGGCCGCCTTGGGGGGCCTTGTTTATCTTGAATATTCGAGGATTGAGTTCTCAGTGGATCCCATAGAAGATGGGATCCACTGAGAACTCTTCGTAAGAGAAGATGTCATCGCCCTTACTTAGGCTTGTCCTTTGAGAACAGTTGAGTTTAGCAATGCATTTGTGGTTCAGCCTAATGACACCTCTGATAAGATCTATAGGGGGTCGAAACAGCGTTGTCTGGTGTTGAATCATAAATGCGTTGTGTCAGGCTATAATTTACAACTAGTTTGCCTAGCAGTGAAAGACTTCAGAGGACGAATTTCGGTTCGAAGTCGAGTTTTGGCTTTGCAACTGACTTCCTCGTTTATCTTTGATATTCGAGGATTGGTAAATCATGTTGCACAACAGATATGGATATTAATTGTCATAAAAATAATTTTCTTTCAGGCCACCCAAGTAACTTAGAAAGTTGGATTATACGACAATGACATTTGAAGTCGTATTTTTACTTGAATTTCAAACTATTTCTTGTGTCTTTTCTAAATTCACTGTTTTACAAAAAGTTTAGTTTTTTATATACCTACATATTTTAATTGTTCTCTCTTCATTCGATTTTTCTAGAATTTCATTCTGGTATTCTTGGATTCTATCAGAGGATTTCATCACCTACACTCGAATTATGAAAAAAAATGTTTGAAAATGATTCACAATGTTTTTCAAGGTACATACGAGATTAGGATTTGCATCGTTGAAAAAATTGATATTTTTCAAAACTCAGATCTGATTAATGAATTGAACGTAAAAATGAAATGATAAAATGTCAAGAATAGGCAGAAAAGAAAGGGTTTCAAACTGAGATGAGGATGTTTTTATTTTTAACGAATCAAATTCAGATATAACTCGTCTTGTTAGTTGATCTAAATGTGCTTTGTTCTCATAAGAAAATGTTTTGTTTTCTTTACAAAATCTTCATAACTGAAAAATAACTAGTAGGAAATTTAAAACATGTTTAAACTCATAATAGTAGAATGTAATAAAAAATATAAAAATAGAGATACTTGTTACTGTAAATAATTGTGATGCATTGTTTGGATGCACTTTGAATATAATCTTTGAATAGAATAGTAATGAATATTACTGGAGTTTTATTTTGTAACACCAAACCGTTATTTCAACACCTCGACACGTGTTTCGATCACCTAGTGATTATCTTCAAGAAGATCAGTTTGATCTGCAAACTAAGGAAGATCAAACTGATCGTCCTCTTGAAGATGAACAATTGGTGATCGAAACACGTGTTGAGGTGTTGAAATAACGGTTTGGTTTTGGGAAAAAACTCAGGTAATTTTCATTAACTATATTGCCTAGCCTTATTAATAATTCAAGATACATCTTGTTACGAGTTATTTTAAGGTATTGTTCTCCTGAAGGTCATTGTTGAATTTGAATGGATCCGATGCCGCGAAGTAACTATTTAAATAAAAAATATATTTCAATCTTTCAGTTTCCAAATGTACCCCATGCAACCTCACCATGCGTGCAGACAACCACAGACCAAATTCAGAAGACTTTGAACGATATGTATCGTTCTTCCTTCGTGACAATCCAGATGACACATGCCCGAAAGGAGGGCATGCAGCATATAGTCAAGGAGTTACCTTCGACATCAATTACACTACAAACCTATCCAAGGTACAAGCAACATATTTCAGAGCCTTCCACGATGTTACCAGGACTTCTGTAGATTTTTATGAAAGTATGAGAGCTGCAAGGAAAATAGCAGCAAACATCACGAAAACAGTTGGAGTTGAAGTTTTCCCCTACTCGATATTTTATGTGTATTATGAGCAGTACTTGACCATGTGGAGAGACACCTTATTCAGCATAGTGGTGGGTCTTGCTAGTGTATTCGTAGTAACATTTCTTCTGATGGGATTGGATATATTCTCAAGTTTTGTGGTGGTCGTTACCATAACAGCAATTATTATAAACGTCTGCGGCCTCTTATACTGGTGGAATGTACCGCTGAATGCAATATCGCTCGTAAATCTAGTGATGGCAGTTGGAATATCCGTGGAATTTTGTTCTCATTTAGTGCACAGTTTCTCAATTTCTGTTATGCCTAGTCGAATAGAGAGGGCGGCAGATGCTCTGACCAGGATGGGTAGTTCAATATTCTCAGGAATCACCCTTACGAAATTTGGAGGAATCATTGTTCTGTACTTTGCAAAATCGCAAATATTGCAAATTTTCTACTTCAGGATGTACTTGGGAATTGTGGTGTATGGGGCAGCTCATGGACTCATTTTCTTACCTGTACTGCTCAGTTTTATAGGTGAGTTAAAAGGTCTCAGTAATTGCATGATAAAAGTTGTGACTGTACAAACTTAGTGTTTTTTTCCATACAACTTTTATCTCAACTTTGAATTAGACAATTGTTCAGCTAGTTTTTAAGTATTTGTAAGAATTGAATTATAATTATTATACTCTGTTTGAGTAAAATGGTAAAACTCATGGTAAAAAAAACTGGCATGAGGTTGAAAAAATATGAAAGTGGAGAAGTTGTATTTTTTCAACTACGATGTGAATTGTTGGAATTTCCCGGAAGTCCTTTTCAGGCTGGGATATCTGAGGTAAATTATTAAACAAGCGTTACTTGTAAATTAAAATTTACTCTGTAACTACAGGCTTTATTGAGGACTATCGCAAACTTTCACCGGGGTACTGATCGTATTTTGAGAATGTTAATGGAGCACAATATCTTATGTCAGGTTTATTAAATGATTCACCTTATAACTACAGTCTATCAAGGAAACTTTCACATAAATCTATGACGGGGTACACATCGTTGATTATGAAATACAAATTTTTAATTTTTTCATGTATAAAATTTGTTTTGGACTCGGAACACCATATCACGCAAATTTGATAATTCAAAAAATTGAACGGAAATTCTCATCTCAGTTCATTATAGTTTCAAAAATATTACTATTTTATTATGTCTATAACTTTTCAATACAAATCAGGAAATTATAAACCAACGACAAAAATTCCAGTGGCGCATTTGCTTTTTCAGCTGCAGGAAAATCCGGAAAAACCTGCAGCAGCACATCATCTGAAGATTTTGATCTGCCAATGTTCTCTCTTCCATAAAACAAAATGTAGGGTGTCTCCAGAGGCTCCAATAAATTCAATACATCGCCAGAACACTTAGTGACACGATTATTATCAAACTTAAACCATTTGTTTGAAAGTGATTGACAATGTTTCATGATGAATTTCACTAGTTCAGACTTCCATTGTCTACTATATAAAATGATTTGAAATGCCTGAAACAACTAAAAAAGAAGAATTGAAAATGGGTAGCTGAAAATAAAAATTATATTAACCAAAATAAACCTGAAATGAAATAATAGTGAAATAAAATACAAGTAAAAATAGAACAATTGAATAAATAAAAATAAAGAAATGAAAAAAGAAAGAAAATGAAAATGAAAAAGTGGAGAGATTCCAAGTCACGTTAGTTCACGACGTTTGATGACTGGACTGATTCCTCCGAGAGATGACTATTTATAGGTCGTTCGAGTACTTTCACTTATCCCCGCTTTCGATTTTCCGCTTCACTGGTTCCGTGGGAGATGACCGTTTTGGCGGGAGTTGGCCATTTTTCGTTTGATGATGGGTTTCCATATGCTGCGTATTTCTACGCTGGCTTGGCTGAATACGTTGCTAGACAACATGTATGCGACTTCCTTGAATTTTCTCCTAAACCAATGTTCCTCTCTGTGCAAGATCTCAGCTTGGGACCACTCGATGTTGTGTTGATGGGTCCAAACATGGTCTGCTATTCCTGATTTGCTGGTTTCCCCTCGCTGTGTATGTTTCTTGTGCTAGGCAATGCGAACATTCAATGGCCTCTTAGTTTCACCAATATAGGGTTCAGGGATTTCAAATCATTTTATGTAGTAGACAATGGAAGTCCGAACTAGTGAAATTCAAACTTAAACCAATCCGTTTCGTCTTTGACCAAGGCGTAATAATGACCAGATTCAACATCAGAACCACAGTGAACATGAACTGCATGAAGATTATAATAGTGGTCTGCTAGATCGAAGTGTTCATCTATTTCGAACCTTCGTAAGAGTTTGGTGCTTCTGTCAGAGGTTAGGTCATGTTTGAAGACCATCAGTGTTATTATTAGATTGACTGGTGTTTCAGATATACTTGTTTTCTTATAACAGTCAGTTAGTTTGGCGCATGTTTGGCAATACAGTCAACACCACCTGTTAAAATTTCCATTTTCAGATGATTTCACATTAAGCTTTGCACGGACTGGTTATTAGTCATATTAGGAAATGCTAGTTGAAGTTCCAGAAATTAACACAGTAAACAACTGAGGATTTTTTCCAGCAAAAGATTTACAAACACAAGACGAGAGAGACTGTACGGAATCATTCAATCCAGAGCGGTCAGGAGTATTGATTCTGCTATTTTTTCTGCTCATGAAGAGTATTCAACAAGAACCCCAATAATTCGGAACAATCCTCTTGTTGTCCTAACGAGTACCTAGTGGACTTCAAAGACTCCAGGAAATACTCCATTCTTACGAAACTGCAGCTGCATGAACAGGTGTTTGAGTTTGGTGAATACGTAGGAAACATTTTCGTTCTCGTTCATCGTTAAAACCTCGTTCTTAAAATTCTTCGTCATGAACAACACTTGTAAAATGCCATTCATGTAGCAAGTGTGTAAGGAAGAACATGTTTCACAGAATCTGCAAAGAACCATTTCTCAAGCTGCAATCGACCCTTCCAAGTGATTAAGGGTTTCGTAGAGGGATCGATTCGGCTCTTGCTTCGTGAAACTCTTCCACTGAAAGGGAACCAGAACCACGAGAACTGCAACTTATATTTGGGGGGCAAGAATGATCTAACTTCATTGGCCGCACTGAAAAAGAAGAAGGTGGATCAATCATTTGCGAATTAACCTTGATGAGTAACCCTGATGTGTATCCACATATCTCGGCTAGTTTTGAAGAGATTTTAGTTCCGTTCTGAAATGAAGGCAATTCATGATCTCATCAAAATTATGTGAAGGAGAAATAGTTCCAAGGACCGAAGCAGCATTTCCACGTTGAATACTATTTCTTTCTATAAAAAAAGGTAGAACGGTAATCTTTCTATCCAAAAAGAGGTAGAACGGTAATCTTTCTTTACTTGGCCTATTCTCCTTCCAAGTTTACAAACGAATAACAGAGACTACTGGCCATAAAAACCAAAAGTTTCAACCGCTAGTGGATGGAACAGATAGTTATTACCAAGATTTTGGGATTTTTTCGGTTCAATTTTTCGCCAGACAATGCTGCGGTTCCAGCAGACTTCGTACTTTCGGCTAGATGGGGAGCCGCCATCGTGTCAACGCAAGTGGAGTCCCATACCACAGATTTACCTTATTTCCATGGTATAAGAGACATACCATCTGGCCGTTTACCATCATCTCGACTGGTACCTAAGGGTTCCAGAATTGCAGGAGCATTCGCTGACACCATAACTCGTTTCATTATGTCGTTCATATAAATTTTTCGACAGTCAAATTTGTATTTGAAAAGCATCTCTTACCCTATGAATAAACCACTAGAAAATATTTTTTATAGGTTTGTTACAAGTGTTGCAGCTATTTATTTTCAAAAATCTCTTGTTTGGTGTCATTGCCTTCTGTCTATTCACAATTGTTTTTGTAATACATACGTGCACAAAAACATCCGATAATTTCGAAAGTCAACAACCTTCGTTCAATAACCAAGAAAATGAAAAAATAGTACCTACCATTTTTCAATAACTTGTATATGTCGCATATAGACAATGTAAATTTACACAGTCACAAATGTTTTATGAAGTGAAAACACTGAATATTAGAGAATTTTTTTAGAAACAATACATTTTTGAGTAATTACCCTAAATAATTTCCTTTCCTGTCAAGCAACATAAATAACTACACACGGCAATGGCGTCCTCTGAGGTAATTCCATAAACTCACATTTATTCCATCAGTAATAAAAGAGGTAATTTCTTATAAAAAATATTGTAATTTTTCATAATCAGAATGATCCTCATTTAGTATTACCCTTTTAGAATCTGTTAGAGAAACTAGAAATAATGGCCTTTTAATTGAAAATAAATAGGATAAATTTATAAAGATATTGCGTAGGACACTTTTCTTTTTTTGTAGTGAAAAAATATGAAATGAATACCCAGATTATTAAAGAATACTGTGTTTTTTTTCTATATTAACAGGGTTATGTAGAAAAATATCATCTATGAATTTCCCACAATTGTTTAGGCATTTATTCCAAAGTTGGGTCATATGGAGTCTGCTAACTTGCCACTAACGTCATCAAATGTTCGAATTCCATATGCAAATTTAATACAAGAATTCTGAATTCAAACGAATGGAATCAGTCTGAAATAATACAGGACCATATAAAACATCGCAATTATATTCTAGACATCACACTAGAATCTCACATAATTCCATCTTGTATTTAGTCGAGAAGAATCACTGTATATATCACCATAGAATCTCACTTTCATTATTTTGCGAGTTATTTTCTATTGTTTGGAATAAAACAACCAAGCAAAAAATATTATAAAAGAGGTATGCAAATCATTTTAAAGTGTTATAACTCCACTTAAATATAGCTGAAATATATTGAACACAATACAATATTCTTCATGAAATATGTAGATTTTAATTTTAAGAATAAATATTATAAAGTATCCTCCTTGTATAAATAAAAAAAATTGATCAACAGCAGTAATTTCTTCTTACCGAAATATGTCAGGAGCGCAATGAAGTTAACATTCTATAAAGATCTGGAGGAATATGAAAAGTTAACAAGTAAAATTGAAAATCTAATTTACTTAGTATTTTCATGATTGAAACTTTAAAATTCAAATCCATCATGAGAAAACTTCTCATAATCGTTTTCAAATAGGGTGGTAAGTAAATTTGAATACATAGCATGGAAATCACTTTAAAATTATGTCGAAGAAAAACTACAGCCTTTAACAGAAACGTTGTTTGTGAGCAAGTGACGTGATAGTTATTTTGAATAAAAAAATTAAATTCTTTTAAAAATACTTCTGTATTCATAAGGCAAAAACTAGAGAAATAAGTAAAATAAGTCAGCAAAAAAAAAATCTGTTTTTGCATATGAGTTGAGTGCATTTATGCAAAATTGGTGCAATAACCTATATATTTTATTTTTTGTATATTGAATTAATGGCAATGAAGTTTGGGTGTTACAAGATAATAGTTAAAATATAATTACTTTCAAAAGCAATTGTGATTAAGAATATTTGACATACATTGTTCTATAAATGAGTAGAACTGAAATGTATCCTGAAAATAACTTTTATTTATCAATACCATTAGGTCGAAGGACAAAACTGTCATTAAACCTCACATGCTATTTTTCAAGTTTCTCCTATATTATGTCTTAGCATATATTGCTTGTTCCCTTTTCTGTTTTAATGTTTTATTCATTCACTTGTTGATTCATATGTATTCTGCTGTCATACAGGATCACCCATGAATAAAGAGAAGTTGGCCAAACACAGGAAGTTAAATGGAGTACATTACCAGGAAACCAATTTTGACAGAGTAAGATAACTATAAATTGAATTTAGCACTTTCTATATTAACCTTTCAGAATCATTTATTTATGTTAACTGCTCATTTTGCTTCCATATTCGTTTAGGTACCAAGCTATATTTTGTTTAATTAAAAGGGTTATATTTTTAGGAGTGACTAATTTTTGGGAAAGAAAGTTTTTGGCTTTCTATTACTATGTTTAGTTTGTATTACTTTTTTGTTATACTTTCTATTTTCTTTGAAGTTAGCTTCTGCAATCAAAATTCTGCTCATTTTGATCTCCTTTGATAAGTTCTTCAAAGATATTGCAAATATTACTATCTAGATTAAATTATTCAGACATGGTCCTACTTTTCTAAAGTCAATATTTGTTCGTGTATTTAGAAAACCAATCAGTGGTGAATTTACACAATATAATTTCGTTCGGCCAGTAATAATTTGATGAAACTTGTATTTTTCAGTAAATAGCATTCACATTATATATTTGAAAATAAACATTATTATTATTATTTATATATTCTACAAGAATTGAAAATAAAAACGAAGGATTTGATTTTTTCAAGTTATTTCCTATAGAATGAACTAGATGTTGGTACATGATCATAGTATTGTTTGTAGCCAACCGATTGTCCCAGTTGATTTTTAGAGTAGGTCGAAAATTTTAGAAGCTCTTTTCTGAGACTGTCGGTACAAATCTGAAAATATTTCATAAGTTTTCTTGTCTTGATACATTGCATCAAATTTTATTCAAGGATGAACAAAAATTTATTTTTGAGATTGTTCCAAGGTGTGCCTATTTCATGTGTACCATAGTCTGCAAACATTGGTTTATGTGCTATCAGGGAAGAGCTAAATTAAACATCTTTACTAGTTCAAGTATAGATAGCAACAACTATTTTTCCTTATCTGAATACCGTTTCGCCTGTCTACCTCTTAACATGTGTCGTAGAACAATGACTTACCACTCATATATCACAAGTCACTTACAGTTGGTATAGAACAAAATGTATCAATTTTTTGGTAATCATGTGGTTAATCCTATTCAACAAATATTAAATGGACGAATATGTTGTATGACCCTCAAGTTAATACTAAAAACTTCTTGTAGGAAAAGAAGGTTGTAATTCATCCACCTCATTTCAACTGTTGAAATTTCAGTCACACTTAGGAAACAAACCATATAGCTTTTTATTTTGTTTTATAGATTTATTAACAAAACTTCACGCAAATTTGATTCTGAAAAATTGTGAACATACAGTGAGACCCATTCATATTAAAAACACCCCTGTGAAATTTCAATTTATTAACCGATTTCAACCATCTCTATTTATTTGTTATTTATGATTTTTACATTATATTTAACGTATTCCAAAAACACTTTATTGTGAGATTTTCACTAAATTGTTTTACAAAAACGTAAGACGTGTTTCGCCATACAATGGCTTCATCTGGCGAGTCTTTCAACTCCATCATATACATTATATTTTTCTTAAATAGTGAATTATTGTCGATTTTTTTCTTTTAACTATATCTCCACCAGCTTTAGTATGTTTTCAAATAACCGTCGCCAAAATTTCATAAAACATATCGGTGTCTGGGCATATAATATTGAACTTTATAAATACTTCCTTGTACAAGGAACTGTTTCTAAATCAGTACAAAGTTAGTACAGTGACTCCAATTCCGAAAATAAATAATACAAGTGATGCAAGTAATTGTCGTCCAATAAACAGTCTTCCAACGCTTGAAAAAGTACTGGAACTGGCAGTATATGAATAACTAGTTACATACTTTAATGAAAATAATTTATTCATCGAAAATCAGTCTGGTTTTCGTAAGAATCACTCATGCGAAACAGCATTACAACTAACAGTCACAGAGTGGAAAAAAATATTGATAAGAAAGAATATATTGTTGCTATATTTCTAGATTTCAAGCGTGCCTTTGAAACAATCAATAGGAAAACTTTAATCAATAAACTGAAGTATTATGGTGTAACTGGAAAAGCTTTAAACTAGTTAGATAGTTAGTTATTTTGAGCAAAGAAGTCAAAGGACTAAAATTTGTGATGTAATGTCAGATTGAATTATAAATGATATAGGTGTACCACATGGTAGTGTTTTGGGACCACTGCTATTCATTATTTATATAAATGATATCAACTATGTACCTGGTTCACGCCATATCAATTTATTTGCTGATGATACCCTTATATATACAAAAAACTGATTTAAAAGAAGCTGTACAAAGTATCAATATATCTTTAAAGAACATTGAATTATATCTACAAGTGAATAAACTCAAATTGAATATCAATAAATCTAAGGCAATGATTGTTACAACAAATTCGAATCAAAGAAAGACATTAATAGGACATTAATATCAGCATATTCAATAATCAACTCACAATTGTAAATAAAATTAAGTACCTAGGATTCATTATAGACCATCAATTAAATTTGAATAAGCATCCCGAATCAAATGCCGAATCAAGCACGCAAAATCAAATGGGACAGTTGCAGAAACTACAAAATCGAGGTATGAGAATCATTTTGAGATGCAACCAGTATACCCCTATTGAATCTATGTTGAATACTCTACAGTGACAGCCGGTATATAAAAGACTGTATTATTTGAGCATGATTTTTATTTTCAAAATTACGAGCGGGATACAACCAGCCTATCTTATCAGATATTTAGTTCGAAATAGTGACATTCATTCATATAACACAAGAAAATGTAATACATTTTATAGATCTCGAACAAACTATAAGAGTGGAATGAATTCATTGTTCTTTAAAGGTTTAGATAGTTTCAATAAGTTTCCTGATGAAATAAAACATGTAAATTCCTTGAAAGTATTCAAAAAGTTATCACTAGAATATATCAAATTGTAATACATGACGCACTGTAAAATTATATATGTATATAAATTATTCATATATGCATAACTATATATTGTATATTAGGATTCCTAAAATAAAATCTACTACTACTAATAAACAAAGACAAACCTTGAAGTTCAAAAACTCACTAAACTAACAGTCCCAAACGAACACCCTGTATCGACAGCTAACAATAGATTTTTTTATTTATTGTAACAATAAACAACCAATGAATAAACAAGCAATTTAACCCAATCATTTTAATTAAATAGGTACTCTACAAACCTCTTTGGTTCTTTTATCATCATCTCCCAAAAGATGTATGTTATGTGGTTCATTTCTAATATAACATGTATAACATCTGTAAATAAATATTGTTGCCAAAAGTATGCATAACTTTTTTTGGCCAAGATGCATATAATTATTTGTGTCATTTGAGCCGTTTTCCTATGTAAAATATTCTATCAGAAATTCTCGATACTCTTGATGAAAAAAATCTTTTTTATCAAATCTGGAAGTGGTCTGAATTTGGTGTTAAATTTGAAAAGCTAGGAATAATTACTATAATAAGTCCAAGTCAAATAAAACATTTTGGATGGAAATCCAAATTTTATGAAATTAATTGGAACTGCCCGAGTTTTTTCTTCCGTTACACTGTTTCACTACAATCCATATCTATAAAGGATGTATTTCAGGCGTGATGCAGAATAGACATAATATATTTGTCCTCCAACCACATCTGTGCGGACCAGATAAGTCGACTGTGGTGTCACATCTGCTGCCATCCACATCCTGTTATTAGGTATGCTGTGACTATGATGCTACAAGTTCAATGACATAAACATCAATACAAAAATCAAAAAGTTCTTGTGTGATATTATTCTATTTTGTCATGGGTGTGATGTGTAAACAATAAGTATGTGTAAAGTATTCTAGTAAAATTTTTAGATAAAGAATTGTACCAAAGTATTTGAAGTCAACTGAAATGTAACTCACTATTTTATGTTGTATCAATAATATAACAGTGTTGTCGCTGGCTATTTGGTGATGTTTAACGTAACAAGTGTTCAGTTCAAATCACACAAATCACCAAATAGTCGGCTCATACAAAGAGCGGGTGTAAAGAAATTATAATTTTTTTAATCAGAAACTTGTCACTGAACTTAGCGAATAAATTTTTGACTGTTTTTCCTACAAGTTACGTCTTGAATCTTGTTAGTTTTTATAATTCGAATAGTGATTATTGACCTGAGAATTTGTAGTTACAAACTTTCAAATTCTTTGTTGTTTGATTTATTTACTGTAACATTGTTTCACACAAATGTGAAAGGCAGCTATTTGTAATGAATGTTAAACTCAAATATTGATATTGAACTGGTGTAATGTGATCCAGAAAATGCACAGCTTTACAAATGATCCAGCATCAACAAAAGAACGGAAAGTGAAACCAAGAATCGGTAAACCAATTAGCAAATTTGTTGAAATGATACAATTTGGCAAATATACAATTTCTTTTTCCCTTCAATTATACATAACGTCCATTTTGTTTCATGTCATTTTCCTTTTGTGAATCTCATCTCTGTAGCTGTCAGTTTTGTTCTTTATTTTTCTGTTAATGTTCAAGTTTATGCTCCATGTAAGAGTAATGGTGTCATGTACAGGAGAGGATGTACATTTATAAAAAATGATGTTTGATACTGTATACAACTTGTCCCCTGTTGTTATGTCCTTTATACATTTTTCCATCTTCTGATGTTATGCAACCTAAATATTTGCACTTATAATTCTTCATTGCCTATTTTTATTTTGAGCTGTTCATGTCTCGAAATTATCAATTTTTATCTTCTTCCTACTAATCATCCCATTTATTTATTTTTGAAGGTTTGCTGTCTATTCAGAAGTGTGTCTTCATATTTAGCAATAATTATTACTATGCTATTGGCATATCAGATTTTTTTTCATACCTACTTAATTATCATATAGAATCAAAAATAAAACAAATCAACGTAATGGAACAAGTACAGTCAGCAGTAATATCCAACGTAATGGAACAAGTACAGTCAGCAGTAATACCATTTTTTTACCAAACTTTTTTGGCACAAGCCCCGTCATTAATATACTCCAAATACAAGAACACGAGTTTTGTTTCATTAATGATTAGATATTTTCTCCCTGAATCCACAATAACGACAAATAGAAACAACTTGGTGAACATTTAGGAAAGCATTGTAAGAAATATGCATTAAAATCGAAAATAATTTTTTTGTGATTTGTGTAACAATGGTAAAATGAAAAATCTACCGGGGATTTGGTTAAAAATTAGCAATGATTAGTTCTAAGACTCTTGAATCTTATTCAGATATTGTGAAGAGGTGTACCTTTTCCAAAGTTTACCAAGGCCTTTTTATATTTGAATAAGTGATGTATCTCCGAAGTGTTGGTTATGAATGACACGTAAGATTTATTTGTATTATATTCATAAGATTATTGTATTAGCTATATTACCGTGTTAGGAATCACACAGTTAAAAGGTAAGACCTCGTTAGTCCTCAGCTCGCACAAGTTACGAATTTTGATGTCGTCCGTAGGGGGTCGACAGCTGATTAACGGAATAATAGATTTTAAACAGACAGACAGAACAGATATTTATTAGAGAAACGAAAAATGTACTTTTGTTTACTGTTTAAAAGTTACCAATGAAACCTTAATAACATCCTGTACTTTCTTCTCATTACTCATAAGCAAAATTTCTTTCTAGTCGAATTGAAAAACAGTGGAGGAGCGCTCATCTTGTTACTTTCTACTGTTGCAAACCACAGGGTCTGAAAGCCAAGTTTATACTATTGAAAATTGAAAAAGAATGCAGACTTCTTGAATTTACTAGCGGTTTTTTCCTATCAGAATGTCAATATTTCTTTTTTACGACTCTGTTCATATTCCAAAAAATTAAACTAAGAAAATTATTTATGAATGAAATTATCTATTTTATAGCTGAAATTTGTATTGGAATAAATGTTATTTTGCAAAAAAAGTATTTACTTATCCTTTTCAAATCTTAATATACCTTATAAATCTTAAATAATACCTTCATTTAGCATAGCTAATATACAAAAGTCAGTATTATGTAAAATTCTAAATGATATAATTAATAATAACAGTTTAACAAAATATGACTCACACATATTGATAGAATATTGACATTTACGTTTGAAATGCAGGAAGCATAAAAATTACAAACATTAGACTCTCCCAGCTGAACAAAGAGAATCATCATTGACAGCATAGTTAATTGTAAATTCTTGCCTGTTTGCTGATGACCTAAAGCTATATTTGCCTATCGAAAGTATTAAAGATTGTCATAAGATATAGGATGATATCAATTCTCTATATGTTTAATCTGAAAATAATGAGATGTCGTTAAATCAAAGAAAATGCTTCTGTGAAACAATTGCTAGAATAAATAACAAAATAGTCTTCAACTACGTTCTTGATGATGTCAATCTAAAACGGCTGAATGAAATGAGAGATTTGGGTATATTCTTTGATGTGAACCTTTCATTCATCAACACCACCAACTTCTTGGTTTTGTCTTCCGGAATTGTAAGGATCAAACAGTGGATGCCACCAGTCCGATCTCATTATACTGTACATATAACTAATATTGAAGCAGTACAAAATATATTCCTCAGACTTGTTGCTTTCAAATCTGGCTTTACAGTTGGAGAATATGATTATTCAGATATACTTGATATTGCGAATTTTCACATCCTACACAACTAGAATGATAATTTTAAGTTCATATCATTTAAATTTTATATAATTACATTGATGTATGTGTACACTTATACATACTTTAAGGTTAAGTTAGTATTAAGGAAACACTGTATTTGTATTATTTATTTATCCTCATGGGGATTACCAGTATACATAAATGAATTTGAAAAAAATTTGCACAAATAACTGCTCTGCCTATGAATCAACTGATATTGTGAAAGCAGTATCGAATCCTACTCTGAGTTAAAAGATAAGCTAATCGTTAGCTTGCTCCCATTTAGACTTTTGAGGATTGTTATTGGAATAACAGCCGGTTAATTGAAAAACTCATTTTGAACCTTTCATCTCAAAACTATTTTTTCACTACCTGCCTTCGCATTACAGTGTACATTTGTGTTTCAATTGCAAATTTTGAAAATTATATATCCAAAAATTTCTATCGACATCTGAAAATAAAAAAAATTCAAGCAATGAATTTATTTCAATTTTTTTTATGATTACGCAAGTGGTAGTATACCTGACTCACAATCCAAAGATTAAAGGTTTAATTCCTGTTTCAACCAGATATTTCCAGCAAGAATTTATCCAGTTGAAAGTGGATTGATTCTGTCATGTGTTGAGACAGACGGGACTATGAATAGCTATGATATACTCCCTGAATGACTTGAGAATCTACTTAAAACGCAAAGCTAGTGATCATAGTAGTCGATGCCGTTGATTCCAATCATGCCCCCTTTGAAATTACTCTGGATACTCCACTGTTCAGAAGTCTTTTTTACTTCTATACGGTGCTATCAGTATGTTTCATTGACGTGTGGGTTATTTTGGGCAACACTGGGTTGACTAAATTGAAAAGGGTATATTTTTAAAAAAGATATATTTTTGGGAAAGAAAGGTTATGACTTTCTATTTCTCCATCTCTATACAAAAAAATGTGTGAATCTTCCAAAGGAAGGAAGAAAACAATAGATTTCAGAATAAATTCTTTAGAAAGATGTGTAAATCCTGCAAAGAAAAAACTTTCAGGCACAAACTGGAAGAAACAACTACTCAAAATAACTACCTTCATATAATAATAAAAATAAAAATACTTTGGAAACTAATCTAATATATAAAAATGGATGTTTGTTGGTTGGTTGGTTGGTTGGTAAGTGATAAACTTCTACATCGCTCAACCGATCGTGATGAAACTTGACATGTATAAGTAATTTTTCATAGAGGTTTTTAGGCTATCAATTTTTCTGTAACTCGCCACTAGATGGCGCTGTAGAACAATTTTTTGAAAGCACTGTTCTATAACGCTGCGCACGCCTAAGTTCGTTGATTCTAACTCTGTCAAAACATTGGAACAGCAGCGATACAGCAACATAGTACTAGAACTTTTATATGGATATTGTATTGTACAAAAAACACTTTTTCCTATTCTATTTTTATTCCAAACATTAGTTATACAATTGAGTCAGATATCATTCAAGGGATTGTTACACAATATAATATATGATTGTTCTGAAGTTATGTAATTTAGCTGGTTCTGGTTTACAAACAATACAAATATGTTGCTATTTTATAAAAGTAATAATAGCCTTTCATTCCTAATAGCACTATGTCTGTTTATGAAAGTGTTTTGATCAGTTGCTGGTTTCCCTATTTTTCATTACCTTTGCTGGGAAAAAACTGGCTTCAAAAGTTCAAATAAGATATCAGTGAGTTCCTTGTCTAATGGTAAATACTATTAAGGTTTTTTTGCCCATCTTTTGTGATCTAACAAAGATGACCACGACTTATGAATGCTGTAAAAATAAAGAGTGTCTAAATATTATAATAGTATGTTCCACTCCAGTTGTATTTCTCAATTAAAGCATACACTAGTTGAGGGAATGAATATAAAATGTTGAGAATGTACATCGACATGTGTACTTTTTTATTGGAATTAGTGCCTTATGATCAAAGAAAATACTTGTATGAGAATAGCAATATCACAACATGAAAGGCTAGGTTAGGTTAGGCAAGGTCCAAAGTGAGTGAGTCTATTCGACCTTCCACCGCAACCTACAAGGGTTTATTGTGGCTCACATCTATTCATACTCGACCAAATAACCCCAGCTTCTTAACGAAGCTGATTTGTTTGTATGGTGGGTGGTATTGCAGGTCAGATGGTAAGAGTACGGCTCTGCCGAACTCTAACAACCTGATTCGGTCCCCAGTAAGGCAGGCACAAAGTATGTTCTCTGCTGTTTCATCATTTTCCAAACAGAGGCGACACACACTGTCTTCTGACAGTCCGAGTCTCTGCATACGATGATTCAAATAATAGTGACCTGTAAGAAGACCTGTTAGACATATTAGTTCATCCCTACTGTAGTCCAACAACTGTTTGGTATCAAGTTTCGAAGTCAGAAGCCAGAAGTCCATAAATCTTCTTGCCATCCAGGCCAGTATGGCCAGGAATCCAGACCAGATACAATCTGTTAAGTCTTCCTATCGAGGAGAGTCGTTTTTGGCAATTTGCTACCAATTTAGACGTTGCTCGGTAGGAGCCAAGAGCTTCCAACGCCGCTTGACTGTCCAAGAATATTTTTATTGACTTGTGTATGAGGTTCGACTCTTCCAATCTCTCCGCACACAATTCAATAACGAAATACAGTCGCATAGACAAGAAAGGCTAACAGCAACTTGAATGTTTTTTGCAACTAGCAGAAGTTACGAATAACTAGAGTTCACAACAATTATATCGAAACAATCTTCAAGTGAAATCATTCCCGAAACATGTAAAGCTATCTTCATGGCAAGGCCATGTTCAGGGGTGGTCCGAGCCAGATTCAAAACTGTGTATTTTTCCATTCTACAAACAACGTATTGAACTGTTCAAATAATGGATTTTGAAAATCGTAGCGTCTGGACTAGCCTTAACAGTATTTTTATTAAAACTCCAACCTTCGATTACGAATCATCATGGTCGATTTATCGCAGACAATTTATGTGTTCGGTGCGTAAAACACAGTTCTGAGATATTCACTTTAAAAGTTTTCAGTGAAATTGATAATTACACTTTTTAGTATTTTATAAAAGTTCTATTTCTACAGACGTCCGACACTTAATAGATCCTAAATGGCACAGCACGTCAAGTTCATTTTTTAAATATTGAAGTAGAAAAAAAATCCCAAATATTTTTTGACATGGACTTCATTCAATTTATACAAGTAAAATAAAGGGTAGCAGGTCAAGGGGGTTTTTCTTTTTTTAGTCAGGGATAGGGTTTTGACCGTTGTAACGTGAACTACGATTCATTTTGAAAGAGGTTTCGTTGCATATCCTTTTGAAACTTATACATTGGAAAGGCTGTTCAGGGTACAAGGAAGTTTTGTAGAAAATAATTCCAGGTTCACATTTTAGATACTTCAGCCACTGTACGTTCCTACAAGTGAAACCGTTTCCTACTACATGTTCCTTGCGCTGCTGGAGATCACTTTTCAAAAGCTGAGCAAAGTCAAAAAAATGTTCATGGGGGTGGTGAATGTTTCCAGGATCCAAAAATTTATGGTTGATTTTTTTCAGCTCGGGAGATTTTGTGAGGCCACCATTACCATAGGAGAGTCGTTTTTGGCAATTTGCTACCAATTTAGACGTTGCTCGGTAGGAGCCAACAGCTTCCAACGCCGCTTGATGTATTGAATCTATTGGAGCCTTTGAGACTGCCTACATTTTATTTTATGAGAGAGAGGACATTGGCAGATCAAATTCTTCAGACGATGTGGTGCTGCAGGTTTTCCTGCAGCTGAAAAAGCAAATGCGCCACTGGAATAACATAGCAGCTACATGGGTATTTTTATTTTGGCCTCCTCATATATCTGAGTACATTGTCAGACATGTGATCTCAGGTTTTGTTGCTTCAGAAATGAATGAACCAACTTCATTAGCTCCTCGAACAGCTATACCTTCATGCCAAAGGTAAGTTAAGCTCTTAGTGCAATCGTATACTGTTAGGTTGAAAGTCCAGAGTTGACGTTTGTAGAATGCCACAGAATTGTGAACTTGAGGAGTTGAAAGGCACTGTTGCATGTCAGATGTCAGAGTTTTAGTGGTATTGTTGATTTTCGAGTTTTCCTTATCCCTCTTTTTAGTTTCATATGCAAACTCTGCATCTGCAACGTGATTTTTTTTTGTTCTAAAAACTGTTCATTTCCAGAAGAAATTTTGACTTGCATTTCTAGCCTCTCACATTTTGAACAAGTGTATATTTTGGGTTTTTTCATTTTTAAATTTAATTTATGGAACTCAAATTTTGTAAAACTTACCGGTTTTGTAATGGCTTCAGCTAAAATGATCTTATATTCTTCATTGTTATTGTCAAATGTGGAGCAATAAACCTTTTACCACAATCTTGTCTCGAAAAGTGGCTTTCATAAGCTGGAATTTTAAGCAAAAAGTCACGTAAATTCAACTTTTCTTTGTCAGTAATGAAGGTTTTTTGAAAATTTTCTCTAGCATCTGACTGGATTAAGCTTGAAGGAGACGCCCTCTTTTTTTGAACAACAGTGTCTAGCATCCGTCGATTTTCACCAAATACTAACAAAATAACTTTTGCAAACAGTGGCGTAGCGCGTAGTGGGGACGGCAAAATTTCACAGTAAATAATAAAATATATTTTGTAAATATTTCAACCATATCATATTTTAACGCAACTATAAATTCGAACCGACTGAAAAGAGCACAGAATTTTTCATTACTTATTCTGTGACGAATTCGGAAAATCCCCTTTCTTCGAATGATATTTTGTAGCGACGAATGAGTTGAGACAAAAGCTGTTTTCTTCGTTAGATAGAATAATTGTAGAAATTCATGAACGTTTTCATCAGCTACAGAAATTGACCGATAAGTTTGCTTATCTAACGCCGGCTATATTATTAGATCCAGACAGCACTAAATGTAATTTAGACGACGCATCTGTTGAAATTGACGAGCAGAAATTCAAGCTGGAACAACTTCGACTGTGGACTTTTGTTACTGCTACAGGCAACGAAAATAAATTAATTAATGCAGACTCACTTCAATTATTAAAGTTTATTGTAAAATATAAGCTGGAAGACACTCTGCCCAATATTTTAACCATGCTGCGAATATTTTTTTAGAGTTGCCATAAGCAATGCCAGCTGTGAGAAAAGTTTTTCGAAATTGAAATTAATTCAAAATTATTTAAGGTCGACAAAGTACTATAAGACTAACAAATTTGGCTATCTTGTCTATTGAACAAGAGGTGTGTGATGCTATAGACATTGATGGTGCAATAAAATACTTTACTCTTAAAAAAGTAGACGTATAAATTTTTAACTGAAGCCGGGGGTTTTATTTTTAACTCTAACAAGTACCTACTTATATTATTTTTCAAAAATATATAAATATTACTCAATTGTATCATCCTAGTTCTAATTAAAAAATGATTTTCGTTTTATATTCAATTCGCTAATATATTTTAATCATGTCGATTAAATAATACTTATGTACCTGTTATATCAATGGTTGAAGTAAGAATTTCTGTATTAATAAACGTGATTGTGAAACAAATTAACTTTTTTATTTAAAATCTAACCTGTATAATGCAAAATCATGATGACTATTCTTATCGAAAAGTTTTCTAGAATTAATATATATAATTCATAGTATACATTAAATTGAAATACCTAATTAAGAGGGTGGCAAAAATTTTTTCCGCCCCGGGCAACCTATACCCACGATACGCCACTGTTTGCGAACAACTACTCTATTGCCTTCAACTTCAACATGGTACTTGACAGTAGTCAGTCTACTTTTTTCACTAATTTCTTCCTTTTTTTTTAGGTTCAACTAACTCTATCAAAGCTGATTTGAAACCACATCTTTTGTTGTAGTCATCCATTTTCCAATACTCTTCAAAAACTGCTTCACGGAATTTTTTCAGCGCACTTGATTCTACATAAATCTAAACTTTCTGATTTTCTAGCTTCGACTACTTTTATTTGTTTTGTACTACAAGCCTCGATTTCTAAAATTTTGTCTTTCATTTCTAACTTTTCGACTTTGTCCTTTCAAACCTTTTTGTGTTACTTTTCCACTCTTCTTAAATTGAATTTCATTCATTTCTATATTGAAAGTCTCTTCAGTGTCTGCCTGGTTGAGAATATCACTTGCTTCATCAGCTTGTCGTTCCTCTACTAAATTAAAAACTCGAGTCGGCAGTAATTCAATATATATCTTACTTCCCAATGTTTTACTTCTCTTACAAAGAAATTCTGTTTCATCCCTGATGAGTCCCCAATCAGGTCTCTGTCTGGAACGAAGTCTTCGTCTATGTCTGAGTCATCAGAATTGAATAGAGCCTCAAGTTCAGGCGGGCGAGTCTGAAGAAAAGGGATATACTTGCCTTTTTTTTGTGATCAAATCGTGAGGTGTAGTTTTTGAAATTACTTGCCTTTTGCCTATTTTTTTATTAAGCTTACTCTGCAATACTGTTCAACTAAAATGCGAATTACTTAAGTATCTCTTTTCTAAATGAGATGCAGTGGTTATAAAAAATAGTACCTTTATGAAAAATGTGTGTTCATAATTTCATAACTATTTGATAATCACCTAATAAATAAACATAAATACAATAAAGAGTGTATTGTAATCAGTACCTACTGTGCCAATAAGTAGGCCTAATCTATTGTAAATAAAAAATTCATCAGCAACATAATTGTTTTTTCATTTAAATTGACATAGGCCCCAAACAAATTTACTAATGCTTTCTCTTTCTTCCGGTTCATAGATGTTATATGTGCTTTTAACTTCATGACACAATTCCAAAATGCGCTGGGATCTTGAAGATGTAATGAAAAACAATTACATGTGAAAACCAACAACACAACTACTGAAAAATGAACTAGTCAAATCAGGTGTTGAATAGTGCAAAGTGTGTTAACTTAGTAGCTTTTTAGTGCAAAGTGTGTTGTCTTAAAATTCTTAGACTTAACACAATGAACGCAACTGGACATTATACAGAATAGTTTGAGTAAAGCGTAGTAAGTACTAGACCAAGACTTAACAACGCTTTACAAAATCCATTTTGTTCATTTGTAACTTATACCAATGATGCACAAGTAAATAATTCAGTTACCATCTGAAATTGGACTTATCACACTTTACATACATGCAGATATAATTGTTGTGCTTGCAGCTGGTTCAATAACCGATTTTGAACTTGACACACTTTACGCAGCTGGCACAGATTTGGGGCTGTTGCGGAAAATAATGGGTGTAAAAATAAGGAGAAAGCAACAGCCCTTATACTGGCATCACGAGGAAAAAACTCCTAAATTCTGCAAAATATCAATTATGAAACAGTCCAACTCAGAATAGTAGTCGATCTTTATTGAACTTTTACATATCTGGTGAAAAAAACATTGTATGATTACAAAATGAAAGCTTACAGCGTTTTTTCTATAAATAGAAATTTTTGATTTATTTCCTTCAAATTTATGATTCAATTGCAGTATTGAACGTGACCATAATAATGTCACTTTGACTTTGAATACTCTGTTCATTTTGAGTTCTTTCCATATTATTTACTCTGTATAAGTTTGATGTGTGTTGCTTCGCTCTTTCACATTTCAATTTTTTCCTGTAGGCATCATCAGATTCAAAAGTTGAAGACATAAATATGTTTGCTCCCTCGTTAAAAGTTAATGAACTTTACCTCGATCTTATGACCTATATTGTGTTATCGAGCTCAAGGCTCGAGCTCAAGTCTCAATAACCATGACACTTTTTATGATTCATACATTTATGTCTATATTTGTATATATGTATTAAATAAATAATAATTTAACAGAACGATGTAAGTATTTCGTGAATGATGTAAAGAAAAGATGCCTGTCTTCCTACAAAAAACAAACAGAGTGGGAATATTTGAAAAATCTATTTCCTCTTATACTTTTCAACAAACAGTCATATGTAAAATATAGCAATAATTTATTTTACTGCTCCTATGTTGGTTTATTAACAATTAATTTTCATTTCAACCCTAATCACGCTTTCATAGGTTCAACCACACCTGAATCAACTTCTGCTGCAACTGTATCTATGGGAATCTCTCCTGATTTTGTCTTTTCCCAGGCCTTGTCAAAATTATAAACCAATTCTAAACCAGGTTTGTCCAACAAATGTGGTTTGACTTTAAAGGATTCTTGCAAGTTCAAGAGAGCTACCTTGTCGCAGAAATTACAGCCAGTGATATAGTTGAATAAATCATCAGGTGTGTAAATATCAGGAACACCTTTCCTATTGAAAAACTGAAAGTTAAAAAAATGGATTAGATCTACATAATAAATCAATGAAATATTTTATTACTAGTACAATGATGATACACCTTATATTTTCCTTTTGAGGAAAGATCAAATCTGTTAGTGAAATCAACATGAAACTTTTTAAAGACAAAAATATTTCTCACTGTTCGCAATCCTTTTTCAAAGAATCACACCCCTTTTATTATTCATATTACTTTTTCGTGAATGTCATTTTTACTTCAAAGCTCAATTCACTGGCTAAAAATGAACCTGACTAAAGTTTTGTAAGTGACACTTATTGGCAAGCTGAATGATAAAACAGACTCTCTAATTGAGTTTACGCTGAAAATGGGGACTTGGTAGTATACCTTCTGAACTGTACATATTCTTTAATAGCTTTATATTTTATTAAATTACTTTTCAGGAAGAATCTCAATATGGAAAGACATATATGCAATTTATATGCGTATATAATTTTAAAAAAAACAACTTTTTAATGCCACGTTGCCATTTGGTACCTTGTAAATTGATACATCTGAATACTTCATAAGAAACATTTATTGATAACTTCACTCCCTCGCCTCAAAGTTTTATTGGAAGCTTGATACTGTATAACAGGAAATCAAGAATTGAATAAATCGAAAGTATTTCATTTAGGTTGACAACTTCTGAATTTAAATATAAACATGCTCAAGACAACGGCCTGATTACAAAGCAAATATGTGATTGAATCGGCTGGTACTTGAAGAAAATCTATAACGTATTCAAGTAACACCTCGTTGTGAGATTTTCAATATACAGTTTTACAAAAACGCAACACGTGTTTCGCTATGAAATAGTTTCTTCAGGCGTATCTATATTATAGACACACGTTTTTGTAAAACACGTGTTTCTTGATTACAAAATGAAATCAAATCAAATCAAAAACTTTATTGTCCGAAGATTTGCATCTTATTGACAAAGTCCAAGAAATACAATGTTAATATAGAAAAAGTACTAAAAAAGTACAACTGTAGATATAAAAGAGTTTCCAAAAATGTATAAATGTAAATATAAAAAAATGTTATAAAAATGTATAGATAAAAAATCACCATGTATAAAGTGATAGTACAAAGAATAAATTGCTAATATATTGTTAAAAAGATTCGCTAAAATACTCTTCCAAACTATAATAGGGTCTATCAACAAGTAGGTTCTTCACCGCCTTTTTGAAATGAATGTTGCTTAGATTTGCAGATCTCATTTCCAATGGTGAATGATCGAAACAACTTACCACAAGTATAGTAAATGGAATACTTGATTAAATTCGAAGTTGGGATGGGAAGTCTACAGGTATAATTGCTATTACGAGTAGCATAAGGAGTAGAAGCAAAGTTGAACTTCGATTTATGTTTATAAATAAGGCAAACCTTCTCTAAGATAAAAAATAGCAATACAAAAGACAGAAGGGATGAGTTGCATGCTCCCCAAAAAGGTATTCCATAACGTAGTCGAGATTCAATAAGTGCATGGTAAAGGGTCTTTGCTATATGGAAACCCAACTCATTTGAAACCACTCTAACTGCATAACATCCGGAGGAGATCTTACTCTCGAGTTGTTTAAGGTGTTCATCAAATTTCAGCCTATTATCAATGAATACACCAAAAAATTTTGTGTTTAAATTATTTTGTGATATGGCAGCGTCTATTGAAATTTCACCAAGCGAACATTTGAATGATAATTAGATACATTTTAAATTAGGTATGATTTCCTGTGTTACATTTAATATATGTAGTGTTCGCCGAAAAAAATATACATAGTGTGTCAAAAAATGAGTTTTGACTTAACGATGGTTTCAGGCACTTGAAAACATGCTCTTTCATGTGAACTCTGTCAAACTTGCAAAAAACTTTTTTTACATTTTTATTTGGTGATTGAATGTTTAGAACCATTCGCAAAAAAAGATACATTTCAATAATACAATGCAATTCACAACAGGAAAAAAATGTTTTCATTGCATTTACCTACTTTACATTAAAAAGCAGATTCTGAGTGTCTGAATTTAAAATCAGGATAGTTTTTTTTTGTGCATGTTATCGTAGTTTAGTAAAAAATTTCAATGAAGATGTTTCAAAAATTATGTATTCTTCAAAAAAACATTGATTAACCCAGAAAAATTATTGATCAAAAATGATGTCTTTTCTTTAGAATAACAAAATCTCATTGTTTTGAATAATACTATAAAGAATTGTCTACTTATAAGGAATTTATGATTTGGGATTCATTTTTATCTTTGGCAGATTCTTCAAGTTCTTCGGTGCTGATGCGAGAACTATTAATTCAAGTTTTCCTCAAACCCAGCATACTCTGTTTCACAATTTTCTGATGTTATATTTGAAGCAGAACTTACAGAAGATTCATCTTCATTACATACCGCATCATATATCCCATTAACCGCTTCAAACTATTTTTCGAAAACCTCTTGATTCTTTTTGAAATCGACACTCGCGTTCATTTTGATAAAATAGAATTTATGAAAATCTCATTAAAATTACGAAACTAAAAGAAAATATATGTGGTGATAAGATAGAAAACCCAGAAACGAAAAGGTTAGTTTAATCAGCTGCACTATAGCCCAGTCACAGACTCGATAACTGAAGCTACCGCCACACTACAACGAGAATAAACATCGCAGATTGAAGGAATGACGTCATAGATACCCAGACCAATGATATCAAGACCTTACACCCCACTGAAGGCGTGTACATAGTAGTAATACCCTGCGAAACTTTGAACGCGTTTTTCTAGAAAACTTTTTTTCATACACTATGTACCTTTTTTCGGCGAACACCACATATGTGAAATGGTATTGATAAAAAAAACTCACATTGATGATATTATTGCAGTCCCTGTACAGAAAATGGAAGGCATTTTCGTGACTTGGTTCCACAGACTGGCTAACATCAATGAAATAACACTCTTTATTGTGCCATAGAATGTTGTACTCCGATAAATCTGCATGAATCAGATTAGCCTTGTCAAACAATATTTTCATAGCTTGTATAACCTAAAAAAATAACTAGTTTTTATTTCATTATTTATTCTATTTTTATTGTAATATTCTATATTTATTCAGAAAATTTCAATGACACGAAAATGAAGCAAACTGAAGTATTACCTCATCATAAGCAACAATGTAGTCAGCTTCCTTCATTTTTGCATCTTTCAACTTTGGAGCAGGCCGATGATTCTCTCCAATAAAAGACATGACTAGAACATGTTTTTTGAGCGTTACAACATGCGGGCAAAGAATGCCAGCTTTCCTGAGTCTCATAAGATTTGCCATTTCCTTTTCTGCCCAAATATGAACGGTTTTCCTAGCAGTTTGTTTGCCAATCCTGTCTTTAAAACGATGGTCATCTTTAATGTATTTATCTCGTTGTTTAAATTCTGAAAGAGTAGTCTTGAAGACTTTAATAACACATTCTTTTGGTAACTGTTCGGTAGCGAATGGGAATGCAGGGTCTGAGTCAGCATGAAGTATCACAGCTTCCTTACCTGAAAATTCAATAAAAATGTAGCGAATGAGAAAAAATTATATTGTCTCTCAAGAATTTTTTGGTTAAATAATGTTTATTGTCCTGTTTATATATGTAGGGATAAAATTAGTTTGAACATTGTAACGTTCAATTTCTTGTTTTTTGGTAAGAACTCTCATCCGTTTCCAAATCAACCTGTTTCTTGTTCAGTGTAAGTACCCCTTAAGTGTTTCTGATTCTATTGATATATTTTACCTAGAACATAGGCAAGCAACCAGGCCATTTTGACCATTTTGACCATTTTATGAAGCAACAATTCAAATTACTATTTTGTTGGCGTGGGTTTCATAATAATATCCCGAAAGTTTCGGAATCAAAACTGATAACAAGTTGTTTAAAAAAAAATTAACAGAGAAGAATGAACTCGTCAAAAGGAATTCGTGGTGTTCATTCCATCTTGAGTTTTATAAGAAAAAAAAAACCTCATTAAATCTTAGGTTGGTGTTTTTTTATTAAAATCAATTCATTTTCTGAAAATATGTAACTTTTAGGTTTTTTTATGGAGATAAATTTATACGCGTGATAAGAGGCGTTTCTTATAAATGAATTGAGGCCGTTACAATAAATATTTCCATCAACGAATACACGGGATGCCGCTGATTATTTCTCAAGGCTCCATTAAGTTGACTCAAGCAGAAGTCATGTCAAGGAGGCTTCTGACCTTTCAAGACGGAACCACCTAGAAAAGTATGATAAAATATTCTCCCTAAATAACTGTGAGTTTCTTTATCATTTTACAAAGACGAGATTCCCCAGGCCTACGAATTCGACGACTTTCATGGCCGCTACACTGTACAAAAGTTTTTATTTTGATTTTCTGTAACTTAAACAGCTGTTTAGGAAGTTCAATTGTAAGACTTTTTCTTTAGTGTGAGAAACCCACAAAGATATAATTTTTAGATAACCTTTAGGGAACCTTCAAGTTTTGTTTTTCCCATTTAGCTAGTAAATTGTTGAATTTTAACTTCGGCACTTGTTTGTGCTTTGAATTTAACTTAAAATGATGCGGCCAACTGCGACCCACTGGCGTTCAGTGTTTGTCAAATTCAACTTTTTTTTTTTTAATTGAAAAAGTGCATTTCTAGATCGAATTTAACAAAAAGTTACTTGAAAAAGTTGTGTCTACGGCAATTTTATATTCATATGCCATATTTTATATCCATATGCCATATTTTATGCAACTAGGATAAAGTTAACGTTTTGCTTATTTTTGACAGATATCCCCTTTATTTTAAAAAACAAGTTCGGTTAATTGGGTCAATTCATGTATACATAACAAACTCATCATGGAGTTTAACTTTTCTGATACATTTTTACTTATACGGACATTTTTAGAGAGAAATTAAAAATTTGCTATAAAAATTTTAACATGACTGGTGCAAAGTTTCAATTTCTCTCTAAAAATGTCCGTATAAGTAAAAATGTATCAGAAAAGTTAAACTCCATGATGAGTTTGTTATGTATACATGAATTGATGACAATTAACCGAACTTGTTTATTAAAATAAAGGGGATATCTGTCAAAAATAAGCAAAACGTTAACTTTATCCTAGTTGCATAAAATTTGGCATATGGATATAAAATTGCCGTGGACACAACTTTTTCAAGTAACTTTTTGTTAAATTCGATCTACAAATGCACTTTTTCAAATTTTTTCACAAAAAAAAGTTAAATTTGAATATGACCGCATAATTTTAAGTTAAATTTAAAGCACAAACAAGTGCCGAAGTTAAACTTCATTGAAACTTTTCAAAAAATAAGTTTCCCATATGGTGCGCACTTTAATGGTGACACTGTATATACAGTGTGTCTCACTTCTCATGGAAACACCCCCGTATCTTCCGTAATATTCGAGGTAGAACAATGAAACTCTCAGGACTGATGGAAATGCTCAAAATGCACCTACCACCTGAATGGAATTGACCAAAGTGATATACAGTGTCCGCCACTCGCGATGGAACACTCCATTTTTACGGTAAAACATATTAGGGGGCAAAGTAGGCTCAAAATTCCTTCAGATTCGTGATCAGGACTACCAACTTACTACGAATACACTGTTTTCCTGAAAAAATTTCAGTTCTGAAAAATCCGAATTTGTCTCACTTCTTATGGAAACACCCCCGTATCTTCCGTAATATTCGAGGTGGAACGATGAAACTCTCAGGACTGATGGAAATGCTCAAGATGCACCTACCACCTGAATGGGGTTGGCCAAAGTGATATACACTGGCCACTCGCGATGGAACACCCCATTTTTACGGTAAAACATATTACGGCGCAAAATAGTTCGCTTCCAATACCTGAACCCCTTCATTCTATCTGGAGAGTACTCTCAGGTATGAAAGATACAGATACTGTGAGATGCTATCATCCATTTTGAGCCTATCTGAGGAAAATGTCACATCACCACATTCTCAGATTATCGAAATAGTGTATGAAAAATTTTCGATGGCGGCATCTATTATAACTGAAGAAGATTATTCGTAAAACTAATTATGGTTGCTAAATATCCAAATTCTATCCCAACCAGAAGTGAGAGCTCTCGATTGATGAGCAAAAACTGCAAAAAATGGAAAAAAATCTATATTCAAAGGTTCGCATCTCGAAAACTACAATTCTGAGCTTTGGCTGTGGATACTTTCAATCAGCGCATCAAGAACTACAACATATCAAATTTTCGGCAAAATTCAAGGCAAGCCATTTCTCATAAGAAATGTGCGGGGTTATTTATCAAAATATTGAGGAAACATATTACCATCCGAAACAAAATTAATCTTCATACTCATTGCAACACCGAAACATTTGTTAATTTTTAAAGAAAAAATTGCACTCGGTGAACAGGTAGAATTTAGATTATTTTACCTACTTTCTGAATTGTTGTCTGAAATCATTTGAAGGGATTGAATTACATCAGTTTCATTGAATCATGCGGTGCCCTGAAATCACCATGGAAAACAGTTGCTCATTGATATTTACTGTCAACCTGACACCTGACAATACTGTTGAAAGATCTTGTTATATTAACCCCCAGACCAGTTTTCATTGCATTTGTTGTTTCTAGTATTGTTGTTCTTTGAATCACCGTTGTTCCTGTTGTTTCTGCCGTGTTTTTGTTCCCATTGTGTTTATTGTTCCTGTATTTGTGTTGGATATTGTTCCTGTGTTCCAGTTGTTTTCTGTTCGTGAGTTCCTGTTCATATTTTAATATTTCTGAAGTTCCCATTTTAACTGATATCATCTCATTGTGATTGACAAAGTTCAACATTGCACGTCTGTCACTTCAAGCAAAAATTGAAATTGTTTTAATTGTTAGTGAAGGGGTGAGGTCTTATCGTGAAGCGGCCGCTGAATTTAATAGAAGACACCCGCTAGAGGTAGCTGTACACCCTAGAACTGTACATAAAATATATAATCTATTCGTGAGCACCGGCCAAGTAACAAAAGACAGAAAAGTTGTAAAACATCATATTGATGATGATACAATATTGGCGGCTCATCAAGTTGATCCTAGAATTAGTTTGAGAAACTTATCGCTTCAACTCAATATGAGCCGCAGTAAAATATGGAGGTGTTTAAAGAGGCATAAAATGCATGCGTTCAAACCCAAATTTTTACATACTTTGCACGAAGGAGATGAAATCCGTCGTATGGAGTATTGTTTATGAATGCAGGGAAATTATCTCAATGACAGAAATTTTTTAAAGTATATTTTATACAGTGATGAGGCTACCTTTACCACGAATGGTGTTGTATCTTCCCAGAACGTGAGGTTTTGGGCTGAACAAAATCCAAATTGGGTGGTGAATTGTAGAGACCAAATATCTCAGAAAGTTAATGTGTGGTGTGGTATCCTGAACGAAAATATTATCGGGCCATTTTTTTTCGATCAAAATTTAAACGGACGACTATTCGTTGATTTTCTCGAAAATGCATTTTCCGATGTGTTGGAAGAACTACCTTTGGATGTGAGACACAGATTTTTTAGTTAGATGGTTCACCAGTTCACAATAGTGGCATAAGAAGGGTTTGGTTGAATAGGAATCTACCTATGAAATGGATAGGACCCAATAGCCCTCTCGTAGTATGGCCACCACGATCACCAGATTTAACTCCACTGCATTTTTATTTATGGGGAAACTTGAAAAATAAAGTTTATAAGGATAGGCCAACAAATAAGGAAGATCTCCTTGCAAGAAATATCATAGAAGGCACGAAAATATAAAATTGTCAACAGTTAAATCATTTGAAATTGATGGTTTTGTTTTTTAATTGAAAATGTGATTTTGAAAGTAGTATTTCGAAAGAATTTTGAACTACATAACATTTTTCGCCACAAAATATCCTTGTTTTTTTTTAATAATGGGAAAATGAGAATATGAACTAACATTAACCATCCTAAAACCTCACAATCAATGGAGTCTTTTATTGTTAATTGTAAAGTGTGAACAAAACAACCCTGATATTTCATTATAGCGCCGACGATCCCTTTTTTCATATTGGAGGCGTTATCTGCCAACAAGAGGTGAATTTGGCTTTTCTTCAATTTCCATTGGTCTAATAGACCTTGAAGCATCTCAGATATGGTGTCACCTGTATGGGTGCCTGGAAAACCTCTACAAGCTAGAACAAATGACTCTCGGTGACTAGATACATTTTTATTACAAAAATGAGCCGTCAATGATATAAAAGAACAATTGTTGTGTTGACAAGTCCATATATCTGATGTTAGAGACATTTTTCCGATCATCTCATCATCTATTATTTTCTGTACACGAGATTTGCACTTTTGAAAAATGTCTGGCACTACAGTTTCACGCAAATATTTGTCTGATGGTATGGAATATAAAGGAAATCCTTTTTTTAATAAGCGTGTAAAACCAGTATCCGAACAAATGGAAAATGGTTGATTGTCGGTAGCTATCATTTCACCAATTAATTTATGAATTTCCTTAGCCTTTTCTGAATTTATATACCATTGTCGAATATTTTCAAATGCAGTTTTAATACTTATTTGTGGTTTTTGTTGACGAAGTTGAATTCTGATATTAGACTGATTCGATGTAGATGGGGCACAATTTCCAGTTTCTGTTTCTAAGCTCGCAACTTTACCTAAAAAGGTAGTGAAAAGATTTACATACACATATTTTTTTTACAAGTTTTTGCTACATACCTGAATCAGTTATCTGACTATATTCTACTGGGTGGCTTTTCAACAGATGGTATTTCATAGTAGAAGTGTTGGCCGTTTTTCCTTTGCCACCCAATGAAACAGATTTTTGGCAGATTTTGCAAATTGCACTTTCGTTTTTCTCATCGTTTCTCAATATTTTTTCAAAATATTGCCATAAAGGGCTTGTTTTTGGCATTTTGATTTTGTCACAACATACAATAATAATAAATAATTCCACCGCTCAGTTTACTTCTTACTTCAAACAAACACTATAATAATAATATACTTTAAAAATAGTTAAACAGTAAACACTTTGGCCTCTACTTTATTCTATACTTCGAACACAACTAAAATAAGGCACAACTTAAAATTATCATGAAACGACAGAAGACAAATACAAGTTAGGACCTGCAGAAACGTCCGACGACGGTAGCGCAACACGTGCATTCAGCAATACGGAGAAATTTCCAAACGAGACAGTACAGTTTTAGGAAGGAATATTTTTTGGAAAATTCTGATTTCAAAATGATAAAGGACGAAATGGAAGTATTGCTGGAGCTGAAATGAAGTAAAGTTCTACCCACATAGCTGTATATGTGATATTCTCATTAAATGCGTGAACGCTCATATTGAGTGCCTTATCACTGGATATATTACGACGGATGCGAATTATGGACGTACGTTTTTACGGTTTCAGCTATGTTAGTACAACTGTACGAACAACGATGGAAAAAAATTAACGGCCGATAGACCGATATATCGGTATTTGAAATATCGGTATCGGCCGATTATCGGTATCGGCTAAAATTTCTATATCGGTCGATCACTAGTTATGTCCTAATTTACCGAATGAATGAATGAAAAACAATTCAGAAGACTTGAACGATATTACCTCAACTATGGAAAAGTTCGTGCAACTAAAAATCGAGTGAGTCCGGTGACTGGTGATATGGAAAATGAAATGAACATTTTAGAATATTTTTATGCTTATCCTCGTGCATCAATATCTAGCGCTGCGGTTAATTTGGGAATATCTCGAACTTCTATATGGAGAATTTTATAAAAACATAATATGCACGATTATGAATTCATTAGGCTGCAAGCTTTATAAAGAGATGATCCATCAAAACGGGTAGAATTTTGCAAAATGGCACCAACATGGACATACGAAGATCCAAACTTTTTGAAAAAATCATATGGACTGATGAATCACAATTTTCACGTGAGGGAATATTCAATCGTTGAAATAATCACTTCTGGGCTTCAGAAAATCCCCATTTCATTAGACAAAGGGGATTCCAACAAAAATTCAGTTTTAATGTTTTTTGTATGCTCATGGATGATACGATACAGTTTCTATTTACATTTATGAAAGTTTTATTCCGAAAAATATTTAGATATTCTGAGATCGACTGTGAATGATATTTAGATATTCTGAGATCGACTGTGAGTGATTTTCTGGACAATTTGCCCCTGAACTTGTCTCGGAATTGTTGGTATCGGTTGGATGGAGCTCCTGGACATTGCACACGTGAAGTGAGTAGGGAAGTAACCAATCACTGGATCTGACTCCCCTAGATTTTTACCTCTGGAGAAAAATCAAAGAAAAGATATAGAGAACACCTATGAATACGAAACAGGAACTGAAAGATCGGGTTACATGTGCCTTCGAGGAAATCGACCTGTCGGAAATCCGCAGAGCCACGACTGATTACGTAATAACATCAATCCATGAATGTTTACAAGTGAATAGTCAGCATTTCAAACACCTGAGCTACTGAATTTTTGTCATGTCAGTATCAAATGTCAAATAATTGCAAAGATAGTTTCCCAATATCATCTCTTGTTTTTTTAGTGTAGAATTATTTTTTGTTATCAATTTAATTTTGAAAAATGTTTGTTTTTCTGTCGAAATGTAATGTTTGTCATACACCCACTATGAAATTTCATTCATGTATTCCATTAAACCTTTCTGAACTAATATAAAGTTATTATTCATCATTCGATGTGTTCAATAATACATTTTTCACCAAATTTTGTATTTGAAATGTTATATTTGTATAGAAGAAAAAAATTATAGAAGAATTCATATCTCATAAAAGGTCAGAGATAGGTATAGGACATAGTTGATCAAAGCTATTCACATTGGTTGGCTGAATTCGAAAATTGAATAATATACAGGGTGTTCCATTTGAAAAATTATTTATGGTCGTTTATCAAAGATACAAATTTAGACGTATTTTTCAGATTCTCTGTATGAAATAAGATTTGAGGTTCGTTCTGAAATAACAACCACCATACCTTATCTCGATGTTGCCAGAATTTGAGTTCGGTGTATCGGTTAATTCATGCGACACTGAATATTAAAAATACCATGTTGTTGTCAAAAAAAATTACAGAATAATTAATATTTAAAAAAGGTGAGAGATAGGTATAGAACACGGTTCACAAAAGTAATTTGGATATCGATGTAGAATTCAAAAATGATATAATATAGAGGGTGTTCCACTTGAAATTTCCAAATTGATGTCTGTTACATGGGGATGTGGCAACAATGCGGTGATGAAAATATTTTCAAACGATAAATCACAGTCATCTACATCGGTAACCAAAATTTGAAACTCTCATCTTTTTTTTTTCTCTAGATACGTCTAATAGACCATCGAATATGAAATACCCTGTATATACAGACACAGATTACACACAAATTATATAAAAATATACATACCAAACCCATTTTGTTTAAAAAAAATATGTTTAAAATCTGTTTTTCCGTTAACCAGCTGTCGACCCCCTACTGACGACATCAAAATTCGTAACTTGTGCGAGCTAAGGACTAACGAGGTATTACTTTTAAACGTGTGATTCCTCGCTCGCTGTCCATCATCGTCCGGCACAAAGACGGTGCAAGCGAACGGCCTCGGGCTAGTATATATATCTTAGTTATGACAATCAATAAATTCTACTAATTTTTTTTTAAGTAAATTAAAAAAACAACATGGTTAATATAAAAACGTGGTTACTAAAATCTATATATGTATATATGATGATTGGTGATTTTCAGAAAACCTCTTCAATATATGACAATTTTTCAAACATCAAGATGAGTATAGCGAGTTTTTCTATAGATCTATGAAACAAAAACATTACGCAGTGAATTGTTTTGTTGAATCTCAAAGGGATTAGGCAGTTTTAGATATATATATATATATATATATATATATATATATATATATATATATATATCTCGAAGCGCTGTCGAAAGCGCTTTTTGTGATTCTCACAGACAAAGTATGATGAGCTGTTTTGTCGGGTTTCGCTCTGCTCCGTGTTCTGTGTATTTTATTCCCATAAGGATTATTCTCACAACGTTTCGGCAAATGTACCAATGGTATGTAAAGTGGTGAATAACTATCTATCTATCTATTATATTTGACATGAAACCATCATTTTCTTTTCTATTTTGTTCATAAATAATCCAGTATATGGTGACCTTATTCTCTCCACGAAATGTCACTTGTAAGGGTGCAAAACATTTTTTAAAATAACCAATTTCAGAGGCAAAGGAAAACAAGGAAACAGTGAACTGCCTTCATACATACGTACACAAATTTGAGTAATTTTTTAATAACTCTGGAAAGATTACAGGCAAATTGAAACAAAAAATATATAATTCTTCCACAGTGGCAACAAATTTAAACGAAACAGAAATCAAGGTAATAAATAACCTACCTAAAATAAACTAACAGCCGAACTTCCTGTTAATATCACTACTTTGTATTCATATAGGGGCATTTCTTTTCATGTAGATAACGAGAATATACACTGGATCTATCATAATAATACTCACCAATGCTTATGACACCGTTCACTCTTTCAAGAAGCTGATTATTTACCATCTTATAAAGGAGCAACCTGGTATACTCATCCATACCAAATACTGCGGTGGCGTGTTCTTCTTTTTTATCATGAATTTTATGTCTTCTAGTTTGTTCATGTTTTGAATGCACTCTCAAACTGAAATCATAAAAACCTATTGATAAAAGTTACCTAAATGGATGCTAAAGCAAAATTAACTTTCAACCAACGATGTACCAAAAAGAGAGTGATACTACTACAATTTACAAACCAAGAAACTAGGCCTACCGATCACAAATTTACCATCTTTATAGAAAATTGTAAAACAATGGTTCTACACTCTTTGAAGATTCGGTATATGATAATCGAAGGTAATATCCCACTCCCTCTCACCGGCTCCGTAGAGGCATACTTTCAAAGTTTTGTCAAGGACAAGAATAGATGGTAATCTGAGCTTGTCATAGAGTATAGAAATACAGTAATAAAAAGACAGAGAAGATAAACGGTATTGGAGAGAGAGAGGTGAATTTTTAAACCAATTTAAAACCCACCACCTGCAGGAAGGGTTTGCTACTTTTAATACTTTTGCAATGAATCTATTATTATTAGAAAATTTTTATTATGTTTTAACCCTGAAATAAACTCGTATATTCGAAATATTTTTGGCAAAGATTGAATGATTAAAAAATCAGAATTCCATAAAAACCAGTAGAATCACCTGTTGAACACTTTATTGGATATCTTTAGATCAATATTCTCTCCATCCCCTGTGTGAAACTCTGGAGGAAAAGAAAGTAATTTACAAGCATTTCTTCTGCCACTCATAACACCATCATGTTTTGTAACCATTTTGCCATCCTGTTGCATTTTGTAACCACACTGTGGAATAGATGCAAATTCCCTTTGAACAGAATCATATCTGTCCCAATCCTTCCTGTCTCTAATATCTACAATCTCTTCTTCTTCAGAATCACTCTCAAAATCTGAAAAAAATCTTGTTCAAAAATACATTATTAACAACTTTCCAAAATTGAGTAGGAATTAACCGGAAAAGATTGAATTTTATATATTTGTTATAAATAGAAGTTGGGTAAAATGTCATTTATGCAGGGTAGAGATTCAAAAAACAGGCTAAAAGTGAGACAAACCAGTTTCATTATAATAATGTCAACTACTGTACAACTACTGAAAATGTGTGAAACAGATCAAATTTTCAATTCACAAAAAATAATTAAAAACTGAAAACAATTTTTCTTGAGATCAATCAAGAGTTTTCCTGAATAAAACGGCAGTTACATGGCATTTTTTTCCATTTCCAAGGATCCAAAAGTAAATTAAAATTTAGAACTGGAAGTTTCACTTAAAGTAGATATGTTTATCGACACAAATGAAAATAAAATTCCATATCAAATTGAAACGTTGTATGGAAGAATGAAAATATCTTGATATATTGAAAAACCGAGCACAAACACCACACACTTATGATTCAACACCAGACAGCGCCGCTTTGACCCGCCAGGTCTCATCAGTGGTGCTAGGCTGAACCACAGCTGAGGAACAAACCTGCTTGAGTAAGGTCGACATCTCCCCTTAAGAAGACGCCATCTATGGAATCGGCAGGGAACTTAATCGTCGAATATAAAAGATAAACGTGGTTCCCCAAGGTGATCATTTGTCCTTCTGGTAAACATCAGTCCAAAGGGTAAGGGAGCCAGGCTCCAACCTGTCTAAATTCAAGATGACCTTCCGCCAAGGTGATCAGTTGCAAAGCCAAGATTCAACTCGCTCGCCGACGAGATTCATTCTCTGCCTCTGCAAGGCATAAGGTTGAAAACCAGAGCCCAAACACAATATATCATCGCTCGCTGCCTAATGCGAATGTGATCATTTTCTAAGAGATTGAATATTGGTTGTATATCGGCGTAGCACTCGTGGCAGTAGTAGCAGTCTGGTTTGTTATTGTTACTTTGACGAATAAACAGTTTGTCGATTTTATTGATTATGGAAAAAAAAGATAAAATTGTCCAGAGTGGATTAATTATCGAAAGTCACGCGAAAAGATGAAGTTAAAATATGCTGCTACATCACATTCTCAAACAAAATTAAATTTTTGTAAAACTTTTAATTCGTAAGTTCTTAATTTTCAATTGAAGATCCGAAATCGTATTCATCATGTGAATTTATACATTTACAAAAAAAACAAAAGAACAGTTAATTCAAACTCAAAGTTGTGTAGAGGAATCGGTGCCAAATAAACCTGACATTACGGAGAGTACGGTCAGAACGGAGTCAACATTTCTTGATGTTCCATCTACATCAACCGATATAGTAAGAACAAAATCCGATTTTTCATTAGGTTCTGCTGATTTAACATTTACGGAGATAGATTATAATTCGGATTTGGATAGTGATAGTACTTAAGAACAAGACGATTCTGATATCTGCTGAGAATGAAGGTGGAAAAAACATTTTGTTTTTACATGGATCATTTTATAATTGATATTTCAATTTTGTAGGTATTTACCTTTCTGTCGATGAACATGCGTATCCCGTCGACCCATTTTTATTCAAAAATACTATTTTGATTCTGGAAATATTGCGTCAACTAATTTTAAAAGTGATGCACTGTTTGGAACCTTTGGTGTAGTAATGAATATTACTGGAGTTTTTTCCCAACACCAAACCATTATTTTAACACCTCGACACGTGTTTCGATCACCAAGTGATCATCTTCAAGAGGAAGATTAATTTTCCTCTTGAAGATGATCATTGTTTATTACTGAAATATTTCTTTTATTATAGTTTTGTGATATTATTTCTTTTCTTAATGGAAAATACAGTATTACTTCAAATACCTATGCCTTTATACTGAATCTTGGCGCCAGCTATGGTGTGCCCACCCGCCCTTAATTTTCAGAATCGCCACTGTTTCTTTGGTACTGATATATTCCACCTCAATTTCTTCTGAAGATATCATTTGTCTGATGTAACGGTGTCGAACATTTGTTTTGTTTTTTCATGGTATCCTTCAGTTCGTGCTAAATTTAATATGCTTTGATTGTCGCAAAATAGAACTGCGCCTATTTTGTCGTTTGACCAAAAATAGCTTCCAATACAACTATTTGTTTCTCCCAAGCCTTTCCTCTTGAAATTTTTATTCACTTCCTTTTTCAAATAGCAATGAAGTCAAGATAGCAGTCAAGCCAGGTGGTGAATCTGATGTTCTAATAGTAAATGATGAAACTTTTGGTGAAAAAACAATTAAATGTTGTCAAACACAAACTAACAAACATGTGTGGTGTGTGGAAACAGCTACCATGTATCAAGTGCTGCAAAAACCAAACTGTTGTACTTTCAACATGAAACAAGTCCGGAAAATGAGGAGACAAATGAAATTAGGAAGCTGAAAATATTCAGGGAAAAAGATGATAAGTATGTTCTGCTCGTGAAAAATAATGAAACTACTATAAATAAATATTAACTTATTGCAAAAGAAGATCGACTCATTAAAAGTGGAAACAAACAAAAAATCATAGCCAACAGAAAAACATAAATACAGTGATATGGTAAAAGCAAGCATACACATAGGCACAAGCAATAACTTACCCAGTTCTTAACAAGGGAGTTCCACTCAAACTGATATGGAGATTGATGACTCACAGGGAGAAAATATAAAACGACTTGAAAACATTCAAATGAGGAAAATGACCGAAATCATAAATCTGACAGATATACTGATTAAGTGATATAGAAATAAAATACTTTGTCTAATTTCCACTTACTTAATGTATTGATATTAATATTAATAAAAAAATTAGATATACTGATAATGGAACTGAGGAAAATAGCTTCAAAACTGTTTCTCACCATTAAAAGAAAGCAAAAAGAATACCATAACAGAGTTGTGGAAAATAAATGCAGTAACGTGTTTATTGAGTGGAGAGAAAAATCTGGATATGCTTGAAAGATGCTGAAATCGTGATCAAAGAAATACCAACTAAAGAAAACCAAAATAAGCGTTTCATGTTTGATATAAATGAGTCACTTAAAGATGTTATCTACAGAAAATCAACATGGCCCAGAAGTATAGCATTCAAGCGGTTTGATTTTTAAAAATACAATCAGTATAAAAGAAGGGAGGATTTTTAGTCACGAACTCATCAAAAACCCCAACAAGTTCAAATCAAATAAAAAGAATTAGTCTCGTGCACCAGAATCTCTAATAAATAGGAAATAGTATATAAACAATCAAAATATTTTACTGAATCAAAATAGTGATTTTTACTTCTTAGCTGAAACAGAATATTGGAAATGCGACTGAAAATGAACATTGGGGTCGGTAATTTGCGTTAAAGATGACATTTATTACATTGTTACTTCTTAGCAGTAACTGAATATTCTAAATACTACTGAAAATGAACATTGGGGTCGGCAATTTACGTTAAAGATGACATTGATAACATTGTTACTTCTTAGCAGTAACAGAATATTGGAAATGCTACTGAAAATGAACATTGGGGGTCGGCAATTCACGTTAAAGAGGATATTGATTACCAAGTCTTAAAAATATAAATAGTGTTTCTAAAAAAGATATATTTGAATGTGAAGTTTAATGTTAGATGGATAATAGGAAGATTATTGTGAGAAGTCTCCAAAAATTAATACCATAAATTTTATGATAAACTTGAGAAAATTAATAGAGAAAATAATTCAGTCCTCTTCGCAGGTGATTTCAACAATGATTCAAAAGACAGTGAAAAAATCATTACATTAATTTTTTACTCCATTGATGAGTGTACAGGAATTAATCCCATATTGACAATATTTTCACAAAAATTATAGATGAATACATATATTTCTATTTTTGATCACATAGCACAGAAGATTAGTTTTACAATAAACAAATATAGAAAACAGAAACATAGATATAGAATAATATTCTCAAATTATGTTTATTGAAAAAATAAAGTAAATAATGGAATGCGTTCATGAATTTATTTCTCAATATATTTCATAAATGCTTTCCACACACGCTTGTCAAAGAAAAGTAAAACTACTGTTAGAGATCCAGAGACAGATGACTGTGAAAACAGGCCTGATAAACTGCTTACTATTTCAAGGCATAAATCAAAACATGGAAAGTATCTATAATGAAATAAAAATAGACTCTGTATGTGAAGCATATATAAAAAGATAGTAGGTAAAAATAACATTACAGACTCAATATTTGGGGAAAATCAATCTTCTACCAGTCACTGAAGAAAAAAATAAGGAATTTAGGACACAAAATAAAAACAAACACACTCGTGGTGATGACGAAATACCGTCATGAAGTCTGATGAAAATATGCATAGATAATATTTCGTTTCCAACATAATTTGCTACAAAATGAATAATTCATTCAAATATGGAGATTGTGAATTGTTTGAAAACTACAGACCTATAAGTGTTTTACCATCTATTTTGGAAGTTTTTAAATGGCGGTGTGCAATAGATTAATGAACTTCATAAAACATTGTAATCTCAAAAACCCACCACAATACGGATATATTGAAGGAAAGTCGATTGACACAGCAATCATACAGTTTACCAAAAATATCATTGAGTCCGTTTTAAAATCTGTTTTTCCGTTAATCAGCTGTCGTCCCCATACGAACGACAACTCTCAAAAGTTGAGAAACTTGTGCGAGCGAAGGACTAACGAGGTCTTACCTTTTAACGTGTGATTCCTAACACGGCTGCAGAATCATTCCAGCTTCAACCAGATAAATTCTCTTGAGAAAAATATCTGGTCGAGGCAGGAATCGAACCCACGGTCTTCCGATCGTGAGTCGGGCGCACTACCACCGCGGCCAATTCCACGACTACCACTTGAAAATAATGAAATATTTCTTGAAATATTCTTAGACCTTTCTTAAACTTATGATGTCGTAATCATATATATTTATTAGAAAAAAACTTGAAAAATATGGAATTAGAGGGA